CTGAATCGATAAGATAGGCAAAGTACGGAGTAAGACGTCAAGTCGAAGATGTCACCCACCCACAACCTATCCCTTCCCTTCCCACCCATGGAACCGACACTTCCCTTCACCAGCCAAATAAACTCACGTCTCTGACATCCACCACATACTACTCCAACTCTATACCTTATTTACCCATCTAGAACTGAATCCGACGTCATAGGATGAAAGTCTATGATTCATTTTGCATCCATGGGATACCATATAAGATGATTCCTGCACTAACAACTAACTCTTTAACTGTAACACTCTCACTTCAAGCAGAATTGATTGACTATCTACATTTCACGAGTTACTCGTATGTATTCACCTCCACCATCTATTTTACTATCTATAAGGGGACCAGTCAATCAATGCTAATTGTTTAATGATGAAAAGGAAGTTAAACCAAAATGGATTCCATCAAGCAGAACCTCGAAAACGCCAAGAACAAGGGCAAGGATTACTATAACCAGATGACGGGGCAGCAGAGTATGTCAATTTCTTTCCTTTCCTTTCCTTTCTTTTTCCTTTCCAATTTGATCCGGAGGAAGGCATCTGGAGTTGTTGGATTGGAGTATAATGTCGGAGTAATGCTGACGGAGATACTTTGGTATAGACTCCGATGCCTCCCAGTACGCCGAACAGGCCAAGACCAAGGCCAACGAGGGCATGGACAAGACCAAGCAGACGGCCAAGGATTATATGCCCAATCAGGCGGGGGATCATTAAACCATCCATATGTTCGTATCATGGATTGGTATAGGCTAATAGGCTCCTAAGAAATGATAATATGATATAATAAGATAAATAATTCCTATACCGAAGAAAAACATAACAGTAAATACAGTCATTTCCCATAACCATGCGCAAGAAGCAAAAAGTATCCATCAATCTCGTGATATAATTACAACCCTGACGCCAAGACAAATCAATCAAACCCGACCAGATCAGACAAAGAGAAAACACGAGGTATATGCCTAACCCTGGCACATAATGCACGCCTCCTTGTTCTCAATGCTGCACTGGAGCACCTGCTGCGAGTAGATGTCGTTCTCCCGCTCTTCGCTCTCCTGCTGGCTGTCCTCCTCCTGGGGGCCGTTCTCCTGAGTGGAGGAGGCATCCGCAGCAAGAGCCCGAGGGCTGCCGTTGTTGGAGCCGTTGATTCCGTTGACTCCGTTCTCGCTGTGTCCGTTGACCGGAGCCTGGCCGCGGGGAACAGCAGAGTAGGTGCTGGAGGCCGCGCCAACAGCCCGCTTCTTGTAGGCGGCATTGGTGCGGGCCACATTGGTATCCTCGACCTTGAGCTGCTCCTGGTCGACGGTGAACTGGATGGGCGCAGAGGCGGCCATCGTGCGCAGGTAGTACATACCCGTCTTCAGACCCATCTTCCAGCCGGCAAAGTGCATGCTGGTGATCTTGCCCATGGTGGGCTCCTTCAGGTGGATGTTGAGGGACTGAGACTGGTCAATGAACGCACCACGGTCCGCTGCCATCTGCAGGATCGTCCGCTGGGAGATCTCCCACACCGTCTTGTACAGCGCCTTGATGTCACTGGGGATGTTGGGGATGTTCTGGACGGAACCACCCTCGGCAATGATGCGGTTCTTCATGTTGTCCGACCACAGGCCGAGATCGACCAGGTCCTTCAGCAGCCAGGGGTTGACCACCTGGAACTCACCAGCCAAGACACGGCGGGAGTAGATGTTGGAGGTGTAAGGCTCGAAGCACTCGTTGAAGCCCAAGATCTGACTGGTACTGGCAGTGGGCATGGGGGCGACCAGCAAGCTGTTGCGGACACCAGTCTGGGCGATCTTGGCCTTGAGAGCAGCCCAGTCCCAGAGGTCAGTGGGAGTGCGGTCCCACATGTCGTACTGAAGGATACCCTGGGAGACAGGAGATCCCTCGTAGGTCTCGTAAGTTCCGAACTCCTTGGCGAGATCGGACGAGGCGGTCAAACCAGCGTGATAGATGGTCTCGAAGATCTGGATGTTCAGCTGTCTGGCCTCGGCCGAGTCGAAGGGCAGGCGGAGAGCGAGGAAAGCATCAGCCAGACCGTTGACACCCAGCGCAATGGGACGGTGACGGAAGTTGGACTTCTTGGCCTCCGGGACGGGGTAGTAGTTGATGTCGATGATCTTGTTCAAGTTACGGACCAAGACCTGGACGACCTCGTGGAGCTTGCCAAAGTCATACTCGCCGCGAGCAGCATCGACGAAAGTAGGAAGGGCAAGAGAGGCAAGGTTGCAGACAGCAACCTCATCCGGAGCACTGTACTCAATGATCTCAGTGCAGAGGTTGGAGCTACGGATGGTTCCGAGGTTCTTCTGGTTGCTCTTCTTGTTGCAAGCATCCTTGTACAGCATGAAGGGGTTACCAGTCTCGGTCTGAGCCTCCAGAATAGCGTACCAGAGCTTCTGAGCCTTGATGGTACGACGGCCACGGCCTTCCTTCTCGTACCTACAATACTATTAGCATGAGTTGAGAATACACGAACCAACAAACTTACTTCTCGTAGAGGGCGTCGAACTCGTCACCGTAGACATCAGCCAAGCCAGGGGCTTCGTTGGGGCAGAACAGAGTCCAGTCGCCGTTCGCCTCAACACGCTTCATGAACAGATCCGGAGTCCACAGGGCATAGAACAGATCGCGGGCTCTGACCTCCTCCTTACCGTGGTTCTTACGGAGGTCCAGGAACTCGAAGACATCCGAGTGCCAGGGCTCAAGGTAGATGGCAAAAGCACCGGGACGCTTGTTGCCACCCTGGTCAACGTATCTGGCAGTGTTGTTGAAAACCCGAAGCATGGGAACAAGACCGTTGGAGGTACCGTTGGTGCCACCAATGTAAGATCCGGTAGAGCGGATGCGGTGCACGTTCAGACCAATACCACCGGCGGTCTTGGAGATCATAGCGCAAGTCTTCAAAGTGTCGTAGATACCGTCAATGCTGTCCTCCTTCATGTCGACGAGGAAGCAAGAGGCAAGCTGAGGCTGGGGAGTACCAGCGTTGAACAGAGTCGGGGAGGCGTGAGTGAAGTACTTCTGGGACATCAAGTGGTAGGTCTCGATGGCCTTCTCGATGTCACTACCGTGGATACCAACGGCAACACGCATCAGCAGGTGCTGGGGACGCTCAGCCACCTTTCCGTTGATCCGCAACAGGTATGACCGCTCCAGGGTCTTGAAGCCGAAGAAGTTGTAGTTGAAATCACGGTCGTATACAATAGCCGAGTTAAGCTCATCGGCGTGTTTCATGATTATTTCGTATGTCTCCTTTGATATCATTGGCGCAGGTTGGTTGTTCTTGGGGTTGACATAGTGGTAGAGATCTGAAATGACCAACGAGAACTGCTTCTTGGTCTGCTTGTGGAGGTTGGAAACGGCGATACGGGCAGCGAGGATGGCGTAGTCGGGATGTGTGACAGTCATGTACGCAGCGGTTTCAGCAGCCTAGGTCGACACATCAGCACTTGCTCTGTCTATCGTAAGTGCTGCAAACCTACCAGGTTATCGAGTTCAACGGTGGTGACACCCTGGTAGACACCAGAGATGACCTTCTGGGTGATAGCAGCAGCATCGACATGCTCGGGGTCAAGGCCGTAACAGAGCCTTGACACACGGGCAGTGATCTTGTCGAACTGCACGCGTTCTTTGCGTCCGTCTAGATTCAAAGTCAGCACTGACAGTTGCAGGGGTGGCAAGGTCCATTCTGCTCAATCGACGGGCGTTCATTCCATCCAGAACAGGGGAATGTATGCAACTCGCACTCACCTCTCTTGTAGACAAACATTTTGGACAGTGAGGTTATAGACAACGAAGAAATAAACTAGAACAAAGGGTATATGGATATAATATTATTGTAGTAGAGAAAAGAAGGCTTGGATATGTATAAGAGAGGATTGAGAGGAGAAATTCGTCACAGAAAGAATGTCCTGAAGACAGGAGCTGAGGGAGGATGAGAGATGAGAGGAAAGAGAAGACGGAGGGGCAGAAAGATGGGAGGAGATATTTGATGTCGCCGGGGCAAACGCGTTACGGTGGATATCCACGCGAATTTTCGTGTTTGGACTAGATGGGCTGCCCTTTGCATGCGAGCCCGCTGACTGGTGCGCCGCCAATCTTTGTCCGGCTGGCGGGAACGCGCGACGAGCGCAGTCACGTGTAGTTTTCTTTCAGTTCACGCCACGTCCCTCAGCAACTGCCGTGCTTTCTTACAAATCAGCTCCGAGCCTCGGACACCGTATATCCGTTTGCAGGATATGGTTTCCGCCGAGCTGCGACTACGTACCATCAAGATTCCCATGCAACCTTGGCCCCACTAGGATATATTACGTATGAGCTTTCCGCCTACCAGCAGGTTTCGGAGAGCTGCCTACGAATGCCTACACCGGTGGAGAAGACGCGGTTAAAGTGACGCGGACTGCGCACAATATGTACTCGACATCATTGATGCTCAAGGGTCCAGAGTTTCGTCTGAGATATCATACGAAGCGGACTAACTTAAAAATCTATAACGTCGCTGCAAATCCGACAAAAACGACAGCCGCAAACGCAGCAGCTGACGCGCCACGGTCAGCCGAGCCCAACGAAATGGTCTGGTTAGGATGAGTGCTGGGACAAAGACTAGAGCTGGCGTCTGGAGCAGAGCTGGAAGTGGAGATGCCGGTTGAACTAGCTATGACGGAGCTAGGCTTGGTTGAGCTGAAAAGAGCGGTGGAATGGGACGCGATGTCGGACGAGGCTGTTGGTTTGTATGCTGCATAAGTAGAGTCAAATGTCTCTCATCTTTGTCACAAGCATCACCCAAGTTCAAGACATACCAATTGTGTAACCTGCAGATGTGCAGGTGTCTTTTAACTGCTCCAGAGCCGATTGTCTCTCATCCCCGCAAAATTCCACGATCTTGGCCCACACCTTGCCTACGTTCGTCGCACAAATGTCTTGGAGGTTATCAGGATCCGATTGAGACCTATACCGGGGTTAGCAGGAGACATCAACTAAGTGCAGCTATCTGCTGTCACGGTATACCTCATGGCAGACACCAAACATGGCCGGGTCTGTGTAGCTACGGTGAGGCCTCCTAAGGCCAGGAGTGTAACAAGGAAAGCAAAATGAGCGAACAACATGATGCTATCGAGCTCCCAGAGCTCAAAGCAACAAGCATATGAAGTTCAATGGGATATGAAGGCAACAAAGCAACAAAAGAACGTAATAACGAACGACTATCCGAGCATTGGCTGGATGTAATGCAACTACAATAAAAGAGAGACTGCTGAGAAGCTAGAATGATCTATGGGAAAGTGACTGGGGGGAATAAGAGTGACCGGCGTATAAATATAAAAGGAGAGTGAGGCCAGACCACTCCGCCCCATGAGGCACCGACCCTGCCGATCCATCCTTCATTTCGCTGCCGGGGGTTGAAGTCTTGGCCAATGGCCCGAAGACTCGGGTGGAGTCCGCCAGGGACCAGCTCGGCTAGCGCCCGGGCCTCACTCCTATCCTGATCCTAGTGGACATAAGGAATACTGGATAGAGATACCTGTAGTCATGGATAGGTACTAGGAGTGTACCTGATATACATGCTCTTTTGGATGCCTCTCAATAACCCCATTTCCAAGTTGATGCATCATCGGAACTATCATCTACAGCCGCCTACTGCCTACCACACCCCCTAAAGCAATAGTCGGAACATCCGGAATACCAAGTCAGCAATGGCTTCTATCGCTTAGGGAAACATGCAAACCCAGGATAACAATATCCTCACCTCCATAATGAGTCCTAGGTAAGGAGTCAACCGACTTCCTAACAAGCTGCAGAGCTCGGAGGGAGATTCAGCACAATCCTCAAGGGTTATCATATAAGAACAGTTTGCACTACCCTCTGTGATGAATATCTTACCCTAAGCGCTCAGGAGCTTGTAATAATCACAATTAGCGAGTCTCCAGCAACCTACTTTCAGTAGATGCTTAGGTAGGGAGAGGGTCCGTTGCGTCTGCCCTTGCGGCAGATGCAATACAAACTGTACACTGCTTTGCAGCCTTGGTTTCGACCATTAGATCACGGCAATTAAGCAGGATATGCTAAGCTTCAGGAAAAGTGATGTTGTCTGTACTACCTGAGCTTTTAGCTAGTAGCTACCATAGACATAGTTGGAAATCTGCATTCGTACGACGTTAATTTGACCATGTTATTGTATTCTCCTTTTCTAGCCACACACAAGCATACAAAGCACTGGTTCAAAGATCAGAGTTTACCCTGGTAGTATATTGAATAAGTCCTCAGCTTTAGCACAGCGTGAAGCGTCCTGAGGATGCCTTTGTATGGGTGGGTAGATATGTCCATCGTAGAGGTATGATGCATGTATAGTAGTGAAGAAGTACTCAGAATGCTAATTTCGGTATCTAAGGTGTGTGGAATTGGGGATGTTTGCTTTAGAAATTTCGTTGCTTGCTGTTCTGGATACTACCGGACTGTCTGCGTGTGCCTCGTCTGTTCAGCAAATTCAATATGTGGCGTGTGGACGCAGCTTGAGCTAGTCTCTGTCAGAGTCCAGAGGCGTACGAAGCAGATAGTCATTCGTTTTGAGAGTCAACTTCATAAAGATTTCGATCTGGACCTAATTTTAGCAAGATCTACAACACCAAAGAGAGCTGTCCATCCGCTAAAGTTCATTGAATGCAAGTCTTCAATTGCTAATATGATCTCTCCATGCATGTCGTGTATCCAGGTATCTGGGTAATCATAAGTATAAGTCTAGTAAGCACCGAGTCTTGACCAACGTCTATAACTCTAAAGTGTCCATCCACCCACATTTCCCACTCATGCATCCCACGCAGGATCATACCGACTAACGACCAACTCTTGCAGATCTAACCTATAATCAACAATCTCCTTCCCATTTACCAGGTCATTCTCCAAGACCCTCTTCTCCGCCTCCGCCTCATCACTCGCAATCCCGGCCTTAACATGCCTTTTAATTAACCTCTTCTTCGCGACCTCAAAATCCACCTCCACAAACCACAACTCATCCATCAACTCAGCCGCCCGATTCCACGGCTCCTTATTCAAGCTCAAGTAATTTCCCTCAAAGAATATCACCCGACACGACGCCGGGATTAGTATATCGTCGTCAACCGGGTCTTTCACCGCATGATCAAAGCTCGGTGCATACAGACTCTGCGTCTCAGGCGTCACCTGTTCCCGCAACGCCCGGACCAGCTGCAGAAACTTTTCCCCGTCGAAGGTGAACGCTGCGCCGCGACGCGCGATGGCATACGCCGGGTCTGGCATCTCAGATAGTTGAGCCCGGGTTAGATGGTAGCCGTCCATGGGCACGTTGGTTGCGACTTGTGGTGACTCAGGGTGTTGTGTAAGGTAGCGCCGGTTGATGCGGTTGGCCATCATAGTTGCGAGCTCTGTTTTGCCTGACCCGGGTATCCCGCTGATGGCAATTAATAGGCGGGTGTCTTTGGGTGTGGATTGGAATTTGTCTGGGGAGATTTGGTTAGTTTCTTGCTGGGGTTGATTGCGGAGCATGTTGCTCCCCGCCCCCCGGGGAAAAGAAGACTTACTCCAGATTTTATCGACCAGTCGACTCACTTGGTCGTCCATGATTGGTGTGTGTATTATTATAAGGGGATATATATGGAGAAAGTAGATTGGGGAGTAGGTTTTATATGGATTCAAGGACAGAGATCGTGGTCCCGTGCATGCAAAGGTTGGGACGCTTTGAAGGGCGGAAGATGTTGGATAGGGTTAAGAGATTTGCTATGAGAAAGTCCGATTCGAGACACGCTCTGTCGGTACCTGTACCGAGTGATGGGCCACAAACAGGAGAATGGCAGTTCTGGATGGCAGCGAGAAGCTCCGACGGCGGCTCGATGGGATAAATAAGTCGGCGGGGCTTGTCGTCAGAGTGGGGTCTCGCGATCGCATTGACTCCGGCCGGGCCAGCGATAGTGAGATACGTCACAGGGGACCGGCTAACTTATCAGGCACCGCCGGTTATACTTTGTAGACTGTGGATGAAGTAAACTTGGCATGTTTATGGTGCTTTTGTATTTCTTGGGGTTCAAGATGGTGGAACATAGACGGTAATGCTTATGTGGGATAGTCAAATGCCGTTCTCACTGCCATTGAAGGAGCAACTGGTCAATGCATGAGGTCACATGCCCACGGCTAGCAGCAACTTGAAGTATCCCATCCCAGGCTAAGCGGTTACGACTCTTACAATTCCGACACACAGGTTTGATTCACACCAAATGACATTAGACAAGCCAGGATATATGAGTACAATAGGTGCCCGAATATGCACTTCAGATCAATTCCACCTCATAATGGGAAATTCCTGTCCATAACTTATTCAGCCGACTGACCCTGGCTGCGACACCATAACGCCAAACAAGAAACCCCCGCTAAGAACAACTCGAAACCACAAGCATCCCCAGATGACCTAATAACTAAACACTCGATATCTAACACAGTGACAGAAAGGTATATGATCACCTCGACCTGAGCGGTCCATCCACGCTATCAGTGTCGTTAGTGTCATCGTTCGCGCCGAGCCGGCGGCCAAGGGTGCGGGACAGTCCAGCTGCCGCCCACCATTCTTCTGGGATATCCTCGCGACGCGCAAGTCGATCTAAGATGGCTTGCATCTGCTGCAGGTCTGGATCGGTAGAGGTAGAAGAAGAATCGGAAAATGCAAAGGAGATGGTAGGGATAGGAGGGTGGTTGCTCATGGTTGACTGGAGATGCTGAGCCCGTCTCAGCGACTCCATCTGGCGAACACGACGGTAGCGACGGAACAATGCGTTTCCAGAGATCCCGGTTTCGGAGTCGCTGTCGGAATCACTGGAGCTTGAATAGTCACAGGGGTTTAGAAACTCAGGGTATGGATCTAGGACCATCTGTACAGTGCCCGTGCTCGAGTCCATAGGGTTCGGCAGACTCTGCAGCGAGGTTGCCGAACTTCTGGAAGTCCCGATTGTCGACGCATTCGTTCCAGATGCAGATGCGGAAGTGAAGGACGAATCGGCACTCGGAAGATTGGTATCCGGCGTGATCGTAGTAAGGAGAGTCTCCCATGCATCGTTAGCATGGTCGTCATCTGGACTCAGGCTTCTCTGTCGGTCGCCAAGTCCATCAATAGCCGACTCGCGGTTGGGACGATTCGCCTCATTGATCGATCGTTCACCGACACGTCGCAGTGTAGGGAAGCCCGCTGAGATCGAAAGATCACCTCCAAGGCCATCTGGTCGAAGGTATGGAGATAGCCGAGCAGCTTCTGGGCGCGCTTGTGGAGACGCAGTCCTATGGTATGCAATCGCAGGAGCAAAACGCGGTGTTAACTGGGGATGAGTCTGGTCAAGCCTGTTTGTCGTGTCATCACCCGGCGATGGACGGTTGTATAGATCGGGCAGGGCCGAGCTGCGCGGTATCCTCAATCGCTGACCAGGCCGCCCATGACGGAGCGCATCGCTCAGCAGTCGCTGGCCGGCTTCGCGTCTATCGGAATCCAGGAGGCCGCGGGCCAGGTCGAACGGGTCGTCGGCGCTGCTAGAATTCGAAAGCGGAGATCGCACATGACGCTGAAGACCATTCGCCTCACGCTCAATCTCATCTGCTAGCGGACGAGGGAAAGGCGACCGGAGAGTTGCGCTGCGCAACGCGGAGCCGCCATAGCGCGAGGGACGACGAATAGTAGCCTGGCGACGAATTGCGGAGCGCGCAGCGGCACATGGGTCTTTGACAGCATTGTTCTTCGGAGCATCTGCGGAGGACTCGCAAAACAGTCTGCGTCATGTCAGTCAGATATGACAGCCGTTCCGTGCGCTCTTGGCCGATGGAGTCGCGTGTAGAATCCCGACAGCGGCGAAAGTTGTGTAGGGTAAGAAATTGTGGACTCACGGAATACCCATGGCTACAGAGAATGGGAAGAGAGAGGATAGAGAGCGACGGTCCAGGCAGGAATGGAAATCAAGGAGAGAAGCCGCATCCAGAAGTAGCGTGAAGTGACGCGAGACCTTAAATGGAGAGGGCCAGATTGCGGGGACAGCGGCCAGGGCGATGTGTTGATGGAGAACCGGCGAGATTTGGTTTTCCTCGTAAGGGTAAAAAGCGGAGGCGAAGAGATTTCGCGCCTGAGGCTTGCGGTCGTAGCGCCGCGGGTTGGCCTGAGGGAAACATTGGGGGATTCTGGGTGGCTGGCAGAGCCAGTGGTGGCGCCCCAATGATCGTCCGCGTACAATTCTGGTACAGCGCCTAAAGGGTGAAGTGAGGGAAGAGTGGATGAATGGGTTGTCAATTGAAATTGAATCGGCCACTAAATGTTTCACTGACAATGGCATTGATCACATTGCACACGATTGCCCATTTCCATGGATCAACTCCGTGTATACTACCCTCAGCGTTGCTGCCATGGAGATCGATACCAGTTACCTCGATTGTCCCTCCGACTGGGGGTATTACGTACGGTAACGACCGGTTCCGGCCTCGGCTCTCTCTACCCTGTCTGCCTTAGGCATTAATTTCTTATCGGTCGGCACCTGACAGCTCTCCGATAATTATCTTGCCCGAATCCCGCGGGCAACTCTTTTCCCAGATCGGCGCAAGTTTTCTGGAGGTCTAATAGATAACACCTTTTTCCCTCCATGACAACCTTGTCCCTCATCTTCCTCTGATCATGAGGATTGGCCCTCTTCAACTATCAATCATCACATACTTGGAGGGATGATTGAGCTCGGTCTTAGTCGCATTGTCCGCCTTCTCCAGCAGACTCCGCTGACTTGGAAGGCAATCCATATCGCTGGCACCAATGGCAAAGGGTCCATCAGCGCTTATCTGTCCCACCTGTTGTCGACAGGTGGTGTTCGCTGTGGCCGTTTCACCTCCCCGCATCTGATTGATCGTTGGGACTGCATCACCATCGGCGAGAAAGTCGTCCAAGAGTCGCTCTTCCGGCAGATCGAAGCTAGAGTAAAGCTTCGAGATCAAACGCTGGGAATCGGTGCGAGCGAGTTTGAGCTACTGACCGCAACTGCATTCGAAATATTCAATCATGAGCGCGTTGATATCGGGGTGGTTGAGGTTGGCATGGGCGGTCGGCTGGACGCAACGAACATCTTGACCGACGTCCTGGTCTCGGTCATCGCGAAGATAGGCCTGGACCATCAGTTCCTCCTCGGCGATACCATTGAAGAAATTGCAAGGGAAAAGGCTGGGATTATGAAGTCAGGTGTTCCATGTGTTGTCAATGGCACCAATTCGGTTGAAGTGCTCCGAACCCTCGAAGGTCACATCAAGGAACTCGGCATCGACGCGATCTTCACACGCCCTGATACACCTGAATACCACTCCCCATCGCTTGGTCAGCTTTTTGCTACACTGGATCTCCTACCTCACCAGCGAGCGAACATGTCCTGTGCAGTCTCGGCTCTGAAACTTGCTTTACCCCGATTCCGTCCCGACATCGACGTCGATGCGCTGGTTCCACAACTGTCGAAAGTCGAGTGGCCGGCACGCCTACAGAAGATTCTTTTGAAACCCTTGGTAGATCGCGAGGAGCCTGTTCTGCTGGATGGTGCACACAATACTCAGTCGGCGGAGGTTCTCGGAGAGTATGTGGATTACAAACTTCGTCCGCAAGGTACGAACGTTACCTGGGTCATCGCGGCATCGCGCGGTAAGGATATAGAATCCTTGTTTCATTCTATCATCAAGGCGGGCGACCGAGTTGCCATCACCGCGTTCGGTCCCGTTGATGGCATGCCCTGGGTCAAGGCCAATGATCCAGAAGAGGTGGCTTCATGTGTCCGATCAATCGCGGGTATTGGACAAGTGCAAACCTTTGGGGAAGACATTTCCGGCGCTATCCATTGGGCTTGTGAACAAGCTAGCGGCGCGCCATTGGTCATCGCTGGCAGCCTCTACCTGGCGTCGGATGTTCTACGTCTTCTCCGGGAAGCACAAAAGCAATTATAAGCCATGGCACCAAGTCCAATGACCTCTACTGACAGAGATACCCTTTTTACATCCGCAGCGTTATGGCGTATCTGTATATAAGCATACATTAGTTTAACGGAAGTGCATTTCCTGTTCCGAGGATCTAATATCGTAAATCAGCAAAGGCAAAACAAGACTTATGACCTGCACATGTAAAGTGCAGCATTACATTGCAGGTAGATATCATGTACATCAAGCTACGAGTTGTAGAGGGTTATTGTACAGCTCGCACCGCGGGTCTGATACCGTGATAAGGCTGATCGGAGATCCAGCAGCGGCCGGGCGCTGCGTCATGGCCTAAGCCAGCTGGTGGTGGTCTGTGGGGAAAAGAGAAAAGGAAAGTTCAAAACACCCGCCTGTCCTGCATTTGCTCCGGCAGGCACAGCAGTCCGTGACTTTTCGTCGGTCCTTTCGCAATCTTCTGGTTGGATTTCCGTGAGTCTTTCTGACGAGCGGAAGATTGGATTCGCTTTTCTGGAGGGGCATTCGATGTGTAGAGACGCGTTTCAACCGGACGCGGCTCTCTCTTGACTGGAGGACAAGGATCGTTCCTGTATGTTTTTCTTTTGCCTTTATCCACCATGCGATCATGCCATATTCTCTGCGGTATTCAGCGCGGATTCATCTCCCTGCTGCATCTCATAATGTGTCTGAAACCTACTAACAAGGTCTCTTCTTTCTGAATAACTAGCTCGGGCTGACATGAGCGATCCGATCGGTTCTCTGGCGCCTGCCCTTACCACACCTTCCCTCGTCGTCTAAGCCTACAGTTGTCGGAATCCGAGTGCTTTCAGCTGAGTGCCATTTGATAACAGCGAAAAGGGGATCTCGATCCACCCGCTGCGCGACCATGGTTTCCCGGTCCAGCGAAACCAGTGAGGGGCCGCCGCCACCTTCCAAGATCCCCGGAACTCCAGCCAAAACGCGACTGTCGAGACTCAACTCCAGCCCGGCCAAACAAGACAAACCGAAGGACGATAGGGTTGTCAAATCTTCTGCTAAAGATGTCGCGGAGCTCAAGGATTATGTATGAATACGGCTTCCCTGGTTCCCGTGACGGGCGTGGCTAATGGTGCCTTAATGTAGCAATTGGGCGACTGCCTGGGTAAAGGCGCATTTGGGTCAGTCTACAGGGCCCTGAATTGGAATACCGGGGAAACCGTCGCTGTGAAGCAGATCAAATTGGTGGATCTGCCGAAAAGTGAACTACGAGTGATCATGGTAATCCCTCTCCGGTCGCCGCTGGTCGAGGCGCTGTCCGCTAACGCCGAGTGTTGCAGTTGGAAATCGATCTTTTGAAGAACCTAGACGTAAGATGCGACATCCGATCATGTCCCTTGTCACCCGAGCTGACCTGTGGTTGTAGCATCCCAACATTGTGAAGTACCAGGGGTTCGTGAAGTCTGCAGAAACTCTAAACATCATTCTTGAGTAGGTACCTTCGCATTGATTGCTAAAGCCATGATCAGTGTAGCTGACGAGACAGATACTGTGAAAATGGCTCTTTACACTCGATCGCAAAGAACTTTGGGCGTTTCCCGGAAAACCTGGTTGGTCTCTACATGTCGCAGGTGCTCCATGGTCTTTTATATCTGCACGAGCAAGGTGTCATTCATCGAGATATCAAAGGGGCCAATATCCTCACCACGAAAGAAGGCCTTGTCAAGCTTGCAGATTTTGGTGTGGCCAGCAGAACCACTGGGCTAAGTGAGTCCAGCGTTGTTGGGACGCCGTATTGGATGGCTCCGGAGGTGATTGAACTTTCTGGTGCGACAACAGCGTCCGATATTTGGAGTCTTGGTTGTACTGTGATCGAGCTTCTGGAGGGTAAGCCTCCTTACTATAATCTCCAACCTATGCCGGCTCTATTCCGCATCGTCAATGATGACCACCCTCCCCTTCCTCAGGGTGCTTCTCCGGTTAGTCTCCAGCTCCGTTCTTGGTTCTCGGTATCTGATTAGTATCCAGGCTGTCAAAGACTTCTTAATGCAATGCTTCCAAAAGGATCCCAACCTTCGTGTCTCCGCCAGGAAGCTCCTTAAACACCCATGGATTGTCAACGCTCGCCGGTCTGATTCCGTGGTCCCCAAGAAATCCACCGAGTATGAGGAAGCAGTCAAGAGCGTTCAGGAGTGGAATGAAGCTCTCCGTTCTCCGGACACTGGAACCCTGCGGAAACCGTACCGATACGATGCTCAGGGTGCTGCTCTGCGCCCCGAAATGGCACCATCTCGGTATACACCAACAAAAGATATCCTTCCCAGCCCGGTGTCCAAGCATGTGACAGATCGATTCCGCTCGCCAGACTCCACGGAAGAAGATAACTGGGACGATGACTTTGCTACTGCCATCTCTCCCAGTGCGCTGCAGCTTCCTCACCTTCGACCGCAGGATAATTTTGGCGGAATGCTTTCCTCCGAAAAGCTGAAGGCGTTTGCATCCCTAGATGGTACAGTGTTGAAGTCCGAAGACGGCTTTGATGACTTCGATGATCCTTTCTCTCAGCAACCTGGTGAATCGGATCCTCTTCGGACCATTCGCCCTTACTCGGCCAAACCGACCGGGATGGAGAACATGTCTCAGCAGACAAAACCCACAATAGCTGCGATGCACCACAATGTGCCTGTTCTCAAGACCCCTGTGCCACCATTAAGACCGCAGCGCCCGACATCGTACTTCAAAGAGAACTCGGTCGAAGACTACTCTGACCTCATCTCTGCAAATGAAGATATTTTGGATGATAAGCTCAGTGCTTTCCAGGTAAGCATGTCCCCTAAGCTGATTCATTAGTATGCGTCTTCTTACGCATCTCAGGATATCGACGAAGAGGGCAGTGATATATCGATCCCCTCGCCCTCGAAGGAGGTAGTCCGGTATCAGGCGTCACCGGACCATGATGAAGATCATCAGCCACAGCTTAGAAAACGGATATCTGTCAAGCGTCACCGATCGGCAATAGAAATACAAAAGTTCGCAGAAAATGAACGCGATGAAGACTTCTCTGACATTCTAGGGGCTGATGAGGTTGCCCTGGATAAGCCCGAAAGCGATGAGGGCTCAGATCGGAGTACGCTGATGTTAAACTCAAAGCTATCGAACAACTCATGGCTTGGGGATCAAGATGATGAGGACGATCCGTTCGCCCAGCTTGAAGAAGGGCTCGATGAGGTGGATCTGGAAGCTAACATCGCACGTGACAAATACGCACGTCTACGGGGTCAAGTCGAGGGTCTTGTCAGCTCTTTAAAGACATCTCAAGATGAAGACGTGCTTGGAGAAATCTCGGAGCAACTGCTTACCGTATTCTGTGACCTTCCAGAGACGAAGAACATCATCATTAGTGCTCACGGGATGCTCCCGATATTAGAGATTCTTGACATTTGCCGTCGGCGCGACATCATTCTTTGCTTGTTGCGGATTGTCAACGCCATCATCTTCAATGACTATGAAATCCAGGAAAACCTCTGTTTCGTCGGAGGTATCCCAATCATAAATGAGTTTGCCTCCAAAAAATACCCGAGAGAGATTCGACTAGAAGCGGCAGCCTTTGTGCAGCAGATGTATCAAACATCTACTCTTACCCTCCAGATGTTCGTCAGTGCTGGAGGTCTCAATGTATTGGTTGAGTTCTTGGAAGACGACTACGAAGATGAACGCGATCTCGTTCTCATTGGGGTGAACGGTATCTGGAGCGTTTTTGATTTACAAGTATGTCCGCCTTCAGTATTTTCTTTTTCAGAGACTGACTTAATTCAGGGTTCGACTCCAAAAAATGATTTCTGCAGGATTTTATCACGCAATTCTGTTCTGGATCCCTTGTCACTTGTTTTGAGCCGTGTCTTGGACGAGGAAGGAGAATTGGCCGAGATTGTGGAAGGCCGGATAGCCAACATCTTCTTCATTTTCTCGCAGGCCGAGAATCACGTTAAGGAAATGGTTGCTGAGCGGACAGTTCTGCACAGTAAGGCATCGAGTCCAGCAATTTCAAACACTTTGCTAACCGGTCTCAGGGGTCCTGAAAGAGCTAAAGCGGATGACGCCCGCACACCAGATCACTATGTTGAAGTTCATCAAGAATTTGTCCATGCTTTCAACAACTCTCGACTCGCTCCAGAACTCCAACGCCATCGACGTGCTTACGGACTTGTTGAGGTCGACCATCAAACGGCCACACTTCCGGGAAGTTTCCAACCAGATTCTCAACACTATCTACAATATGTGTCGTCTGAACAAGTCCCGCCAAGAGGATGCTGCTCTGAACGGCATAGTACCGCTTCTTCAGAAGATCGTAAAGACCGAGCGGCCGCTCAAAGAGTTCGCGTTGCCGATTCTCTGCGACATGGCGCATTCAGGAAAGGTCGGACGCCGCGAACTGTGGCGCAACAAGGGTCTGGCTTTCTACATCTCCTTGTTGTCGGATCCGTACTGGCAGGTAACCGCATTGGACGCTATATTTACTTGGTATGTTTCGGCTCCGTATGTATTGAGAATACCGGTCTAACTCTTTGGCAGGCTCCAGGAAGAAACGGCCAAGGTTGAGGAACACCTCTTGGATAACCGCTACGACAAGATGTCATTTACGGATTCCATTGTCAGGTGCCTGACGATTTCGAAGGCGAACGCCTTTGAGAACATTCTCGAGCCATTGCAAAAGCTTCTGAGACTGAGTCCGCCTATTGCCTCGACATTTGCGCGCCCTGATCTTTTCACAAGGCTAGGACAGAAATTACACCATAACAAGGCCGCTGTCCGGCTAAACCTCCTGCGTATTATCTCGAGCATCTGCGATTCTAGCGAAGAACAAGGTGGCCTTCTTGCGAAATATGGACTTTTGGAAGCAATCCGGGAGTTGGAGCATGACCCGGCCATTCTGGTTAGAGACATGGCTGGCAAGCTGATCCAATCCAATGAGAGAAGTGAATCGTTCAGCCTCGAGAAACGCAAGCCTGGTATGAGACGAAAGAGCACGTCTACCACGCCCCCAGGCTACCTTGCGAATCAGTCCGCACCAGCCACCCCACAGATCAATCGGTTCAATCAACCCAAGGCTTATTTTGATGGACGGGAAAGCCAGCGACACCCGCGGCCCTCCCTTAGCAGCTCTGCTCTGGCATTACGACCAGGCAGCAGGGATGGCACTGGTCCCTCTCTGTCAGCCGGACTCAGCAGCAGTGCTGGCCCATCGAGGAACAGGCTGTCTCGAGGAGTGGCTAACAGGCTATCACAAGTAGAGCTCCTGGCCGAAGAGGAGACTCGACCGTCGAGCTCACTCTCCCGTCGACGTTCCATCCTTCCTCAGCGCCGACGACCAACGCATGCTGATTCGGACTGGGCGTCCTAGCGGACCTCATGCCGACCCGGGGTGCGCCAATTGGCTCATTTGTAGACAGGAGACTGGGAAGTAGATGGGTACATTGTATTTGCATTGCATAGGATTGGAGTACTAGGTTTACTTGTGATTTGCTTTGACTGTGTATACACATTCTTTTGTCGATGTGCTTTCCGGCGGGGATGGGATCTCTCTCAGGCTGGTATTCGGGGTACAGGAAGACGGAACTGTCAGGGAGGGAAATGGCCCATGTAGATAATTGTGGATAACATACAAGTGCAATCTTATTTCTTCCATATCGAACTTTGTGTAGACTAGGGTACATCTGTATTTGATGTTCTATACTTTTGACGATTTCACAAATGAGCCCCTCTTGCCCCCTGCTTATTTGCCCACTGCATGATAAGTTCCACAACATGATCAATCTGCTGCGGAGTATGATCTGCATGCAAAACAATTCGAACGCGACCCGTCCTGTCTGGAACAATAGGGTAATGCACGGTAATCACCCTGTATTTGGCCTGCTCCAAGTACTTTTCCAGGTTAACTGCGAGGTCATGCTGAGGAACCAGAGGTACGATTGGAGACTGGAATGGCCCCAAATACCAAGTATGTTCGGTTGGGAGGTAGAAAGTGCCCTTGCGTTTGATCTGCGGCCAATCTGGATGCGATGTCAATTGTGTGTAGAAGCGGTACACATTGCTTTGAAGGCGTTTTCGACGCTGCTTACTGTTAGTAGATGGTGATCCCCGAGGGAACTTATACCCACATCTTCGCCTTCTTTACTGCCTATGATGTCGTATCCTGCTCGCACCGCAGCCACACTGAGGAAACTCGGTGCCGTACTGAAGATAATCCCTCGGGCATAGTTGATGAGAACAGATTTGATGGTCTCGTTGCACAAAAGAGCAGCTATCCCTGTCAGAAAGATAACTGATTACAGGAGATGCTAGGCACTCACCACCCGTGGACCCCAGCGCCTTGCCACATGTTTGAAGCCGGATGGGGGAATGCTCCTCCAATCCGTAGTGACACACAAACCCAGAGCCATTCGGTCCCATGATCCCATTGGAATGCGCCTCGTCCATCGAAAATATAAAGTTCTTCCGGGGGAGTGCCTTGTGCGCCACCTCGAGCAGCTCGACAACGGGAGCGGAGTCCCCATCCATGCTGTAGAAGGATTCGAGAGCGACGAATACCACCTGACGTCCCTCTGCTATTCCCGAGTTCTCGGTTCGAATCTTCTCCAAACACAATTTGAAGGCCTGGCAATCGTTGTGTTTGAAAGACAGAGTGGTCGCCCGACCACGGCGCATCCCATCGTGGATGCTCGCATGCGCATACTCATCATACAGAATGAAGTCACCGGGCTGAGGAATCGTGGACCAGAGCGCCACGTTGGCATCATAGCCCGAATTGAAAAACATGGCTGTTTTGGCACGGTGGAACTTGGCTATGTCCCGTTCGAGGTCAATCAGGTACTGCTTGGTACCGTCCAAAATCCGCGACGAGGTACTTCCGATGGTGAACGCAGAATGCATCTCGAGCTGTTTCAGGAAAGCCTCGGTCAGAATCCCGGGAGTAGTGAGAGACAGCGAGTCATTAGAGCTGAAATCAATCAAGCCGTCCAGCTTTGCCGGCGAAGGCGGCTCGATCAGACGCCCTTTCTTGCGCCGGAGAGCCAATGTCTGTTCGAGCTTGTGACGAAGAGTATCGAGTCCAGGATTCATTTTGATTCTTACAACGATGGTGAGGAATTGTATGATGCAAATAGGCTGGTTCTCTTTTCTGTCTTCGTCGGCTGAGATGTTCTGCATCTGACGCCTATGCTTCCAGTATCATCTTGCTCTCCTAGTCCCGGACAACGCCCACTTATATACATTCCGGTATGTGGCAGTTGAACCCCCGCGCTACAGGTTCAAGGATTTATGCGTGACGCAATACCCTCATGTTTGCGGCTTCTGACAGAATAGGGGCTGTCCAATGTACTATGCTCACTGCATCGCAAAGGTTACAGAAGTAAAATGGAGGATATTCTATAGCTGACTGTTGATTCCTGATCAAGTCAGTATCTCTAGATTATGAAGAGATTGTCATTCGGCTACATAGAACATTTCTCCTATTGTTTCTGATGACTCTTCGGAACATATCTACTGCAGCTTGTAAGTACTGCCCGGCGGCGTGCTACGCCTAATGAAGCAGACAAGGTGCTGGGCATCAACTTTTCTACGCCAGCCACTGAAATGGTTAGTCTATAGCCTATAGCTAATCAGTATAATTGTAACCGAGTCAGCGATATAGATCACAAAAAGAATCATCGTCAGCCATGTAGGAAACTCTGATGTTACTTCCGGAATAGTCAGAATACCTATGCAGTTGCCTTGTTTGAGAAGGAACGAGCACGAGAGAGGAAGCTGAGAAGGGAAGGTGCGAGTGACATCAGGGCCGAAAGTTGATGTCATGATGAACTGAACAGACCCGAAAATGGTGGCATTTCTTGTCATTGACTTTTGACTTCTCTTGCAGTTCTTCATTCAGCCGTATTCCATGGATCCAGTACTCGAACAGCTCTTCTATAACGTCGCTGCGTGTATAGACTTGATCTGTGCAAGAAGGATAGTTTATTTTTTTTCTATACAAGTCTTATAACTAATCAGTTTCTATAACTGTTTCTTTTAACTTCAGCTGGGCCAGTATTGTAGATTATAGAAATAATCAATATTTAGTAGACATGTAAGAAACCTCTAGCGTTATTTCCTGCAGAATAAAACCTAATCTTGGATATTAATCCTGGAAGATGTACTACGGCACCACAGTCCAAAGGCACTTCTTCAATCATATATATTGGCCTCTCACATCTCTTAATTCATCGTCCTCCATCATCTTACTATTCTCGCATTTAATCGACTCCCTACAACCATCATGGAACGCATTGTGTATTCTCACGCTCAACAAGCCCCGGACGTTCCCGCTGTTGTGGCAGACAATACCACGCTCACATATCGTGAGCTGGTGTCTGAGGCGATCCATCTTGCGGAATTTCTCGACGCGGAGGGCATCAAAGCCCCGGAAGAGCCCGTAGGGATCCTTCTCGGTTCAGGGCTTGGACTGATTGTCGCGCAACTTGCAGTCCGTCTGGTTGGGGCCACTTGTGTGCCCATTGAGCCTACTCTTCCGGAGCTTCGCATCGCGGGCATGTTCAATCAAGTCCATGTGCGCTACATAATTACGGAAAAGGACGGGCCTATCAGTCTCTCCGGCTTTCGCACCGTACACATGCCCCCCGTGGGACAGAAGGCGCACGCGGCACTATCAAACTGGGAGTTTCGCCCAGAGACAGATCGCAGCCATGTCCTCTTTACGTCTGGGTCAACCGGCAAGCCCAAGCCTGTGCAGATTCGCCCTGAGAATATCCTCCATCTGGCCACGAACACGCCGGTCACTCCTCTACTCACTAGTGATCGCGTGGCCGAGTTCAACAATCCCGGCTTCGATCTGAGTCTGTTTGAGATATGGGCTACTCTTCTCTCTGGGGCTACGATTGTTGTCGTCCCACGACACATTGCAACCGACCCAGGAGCCATCGCCTCGTACTTGCAGGAACATCAGGTATCTGTGATCTTCATCACGGCGGCGCTCTTCCGCATCATCGTCTCGGCCTGTCCCTCGGCGTTTAGCACCCTGCGTCATGTCCTCATGGGTGGCGACGTCGCCAACGTGCAAGCGATCCGCAGCGTGTTCGAACATGGTCCTCCCCAGCATTTATGGAACACATACGGTCCGACAGAGTGTACCACTCTCACGACGATGCATGAGGTCACTCCTGCAGACACAGACACGGATTTGATCCCCATTGGCCGCCCTGTCGGAGACATGGAGATTATCCTGCTTGATGAAGAGCAACGGCTCATCACAGAGCCGGGCCAGCCGGGCGAGGTCTACATCGCTGGGCCCCAGCAGGCTGCCGGCTACTTCGCCCGGCCTGCCGAGACCGCGGAGCAGTTTGTTGAGATTACTCGGCTGGGTCGTCACGGTGAGGACCACGGCGTCGTGCGAGTCTATCGCACGGGAGATAGGGCTGAGTGGGGAGCCAACTCCAATGTCTTGGACTTTCTCGGACGCACTGACTCCCAGGTCAAACATGGAGGCTTCCGGGTAGAACTGGGCGAGATTGAGCGTGCCCTAGAGAGGCACCCAAGAGTGCACACAGCGGTGGTCGCTCGACAGCCGCCGTTGACGACCGACGGTACGCATGCACTAGTTGCATTTGTCGTGAGTGACGATGGAAGCGTGGATCCGCATGCTGTGACCCAGTTCGCGCGAGAGCGTCTCCCGTCGTACATGATCCCCGATGCCATCGAGGTCATGGGGGAGCTTCCTCTCACCTCAAACGGCAAATTTGATCGTGCCACACTTGTGCAGCGCCGGATGGATGCTCTACAGAAACAGAAACCCAACGTGGACGCTCCCCCGGCCCAGTCCAACGGCGACGCACAGGATAAGCACACTCTTCTCCGCGATATCTGGATGGACATCCTCCATCTACCCCATATCCATGATGGCGATGACTTCTTTGCCCTCGGCGGCACATCCATGCAGGCGGCCGAGCTCATCGCCCGCGTTCAGATCCACATGAAAGTTCTCATCTCCATGGAAGAATTATACCGGCACTCGCGATTCGACGACCTTGTTCGCCAGGTCCAACCGGCCGAACCTCTCACCCACGGGAACGCCCCCGACGACACCCACGTCTGGATGCAAGACGTCGACCTCGTCAACGATATCGCCTGGATCCCCGACTGGCAAAGCCCCGATGAGGGCCGCGTCTTCCTCACTGGCGCCACCGGCTTCGTCGGCGCGCATCTCCTCCACCGGCTCTTGCACAAACCCACCGTCCAGCAGGTCGCCTGTCTTGCCCGGCCTCAAGGCTCCCTCTCCGCCGCCGCGCGCGTGCGCCAAACCCTCGAGACTTACGACCTCTGGCCAGCCTCAGACCACCTCGCCCAGAAGCTCCTCGTCCTCCCCGGCGACCTGGCCGGCCCTCACCTCGGCCTTGGCCGCAAGCAGTTCACCTGGCTCGCTGACTGGGCGTCCGTGATCTTCCACCTCGGTGCGAAGGTCAACTTCTGCGAGTCGTACCGCGAGCACCGCGCCGCCAATGTTGTCGGCACGCGCAACATTCTCAGCCTCGCTGTCACCGGCCGCCGCAAGCCACTCCACTACGTCTCCAGCGTCGACGCCTGGGGGCCCACCGGCGCCATCCTGGGCACGCGCGAGCTCCCCGAAGACGCACCCCTCCAGCCGCACATCCAGGGCCTCCGCTATGATCTTGGCTACGCGCAGTCGCAGTGGACCGCCGAGGCGATGGTGCGCCGGCTCCGCGACGAACCCCCGCACCACCTCCCCGTCGCCATCTATCGCCCGGGCTTCATCATCGGCGACGCCGTCACCGGCGCCAGCAACCCGAACGACTTCTTCACCCGCCTTATCGTCGGCTGCATCCAGATGGGGACCTTCCCACGCCTCACTCAGTGCCTCGAGTACGTCACTGTCGACTACGTCGTCGACGCCATGCTGCATATCGCCGGTGACAATGCCCTCCTCGGCCGCTCGTATCATCTTGTCCCGCCGGACCCGAAGGCCTCCGTGACGGTCGAGGGGACTTGTCGCGTGCTCAATGAGGCTGGGCATAAAGTGCGTATGGTCGACTATGAGGACTGGGCGGCGCAGGCAGTGCGCGAGCAGCGCGGCCCAAATACCGCCCTCGCCCCGCTGATGCCCATGGTGCAGGAACGCGTGCTCGGCCGCCTCACCCGCTGGGAGGCCAGCCAGTACACGCCCTGGTACCGCGCGGACAATACCATCGCGGCGCTGAAGGAGCGGCCCGACCTGGTGTGTCGCCCGCTGGACGCGAGCATGCTACGGCGGTTTATTGGGTTCTGGAATCGGAAGGGGTTCTACAGTGTGCCGGAGTAGGATTTCTCCTGGGTCTGGTATTAAATGTGGCTTTGTACGGCTTGCTAGAGCTGTGACCCGCATGCAAAGGGATGTTTAACCATACCAGTTCTCCAAAATATGTCAAGTATACTGCAAGAGTCGTTGCATTCATGTAACCAAAGACAGGAACATATGAATTTCCATGATATAGTTATATAAAACTGCTCCAGATCTTGGACAAAAGAAAGATCATATTAAAGTGAACTAACTACTCTATTACCAAAGGACCCCTCATTCATCTGCTAAGTTGATGGCTCTCTCCGTCTATGATGCCATGGCACATTACACTCGCCAATGAAGATATAGTAGTCATCTGTATTTGTGTAGAATTACAGGGACAGAGCAACGAAAGAGATCTTGAATAAAGCTGCTTTCTTGAGTCCTCTCCACCCTGCACAGAGCTATCCTTTACTGAACGGCACCTGAATAGTTATAGAGCAAGACAAAATAGTTGTTTTCGGGTATGGATGAGCTGTATTATCTGATTTTTATGCCTACAGGCATTATATATTTCCGGGCAGGAAGCATTGAATATAATCCAGCTAATGTACTGGGATTGCAGGTTGCCTGAATCCTACTATTGATGAAGTTCCGGGTTTTAGTTCTAAAGAAAATCATGTATCCTCCAGTGGGAAAGAATTTATATAGATGGCCGGGTATGTTTACTCTAGTACTGTTTACTTTTCTACTAGCTGCTAGTATATAATGTAGTAAGATTATATTCAACCGTCTTCTGTATCCTAGGCTAGCTATCTATCCTAGTGTTTATCATATATAATGTAACAGCAGATTGTGCGGATATTGTTTTACTTTACCTGGAGACTGATAACTAGTCTAAGAAAGAATTACCCGGTCATTCACTTTATTTCTTGATTCAGTCATGGTCAAGGTGCTTAATTACTATCTCAGTAGTAAATCATATACTAGAGATATTCTACCACAGTACAGATAATATTGAGTGTAAATCAATAGAGGTATTTCAGGAGAATAGGACAGATAACAGGCATTTCTGACAGGACCCATATATATTTATCAACTAAAGATGACTGGGTATCTTCTTCTATTTTTGATAGTTATCCAATATTCAGTTTGTCAGGAACCAGAATTCAAGGCATCCTTATATGCTAGGGGACTTGGGCCTTATTATAAGTTATTCGGAGCCATTATTGATAGCCATAATTCTGCCTGGTGGATATTGCTATTTGAGTCTTAAAATATTACACGATAATTATATCAGATAAAGTATACAAGTTTGAGAAGATAGATATTATAGAGACAGTCAATTCAAGATTACTATCAAAATGATATTATAGAATATTGAGGTATGGGCAGCTCAGTACACATATACATATCTGTTATCTAGCAGGGAATAACTGTATATACTATAGTAGTGTAAGGGCGATCCCGAAGTGGCGGCCAAACGGGGCTGATCGGCTCCCGGCGAAGAAGTGCGACGAAAATGCGCCGCGGCGGCCAACCAGTGAACTTCTCCGCCGCATCCTCCCTCCTCCTCCTCCGGCAGACTTTCCTCCTCCTCCCCTACGATTGTTCTCGAGGGCTTCGTGCTGGCACGGATGATCCACGCCGTCCGGTTCACTGCTGTTCTCGACTTGTGGTCGCTCCCCAGACGGCATTGTTCGAGTTCGGGATGAGGGCGGCGCTCCGCATTCCGCTGCGGGCTTCCAATTTTGATCCTGCGGCGGTCATACGATCGGCTTCGAAGCCTTCTCTCGCCTGCCACCCTGGCAATTTCGCCCCGTTATCTGCGGTTTCCCGTCGGTTGATTTCCAGCTCGGTTACAACACCTCCTGCATCATGCTCGAAGCGCTTTTCCGGTCGTATCGCCGAGTCGATTCCCCGGGCCACTTACGCCACCAGCACGTCTCCGTTGTCTGAATCGGCGAAACCAGGACAAAGTGATGGAAAGCATTCGGGATCGGGTCAATCGCGTAGTAAGGCCATCAAGTATGCTGTGATTGGAGGCACGCTCGTGGTTGTCGCAGTGGTGTTTTCGGACCAAGTCCAACATTTCTACCGTGCCGCTGCGAGAACTGGCAGAGTGGTTGGCACACTGGCGGTTTGCATTAACGAGTAAGTGGGCACGCGCGTATTCATACCCCTGAGGCTACGTTGTCAGTATACTTATACGTCGCAATTCGATCAGCTACCGGGTCACGCTTAAGCAAGAAACCTCCACGCCGGAGGAACGAAGCGAAGCCATTCGGGCTTGCCACAAACGTTGCGCGGAACGGACTCTACGAGTTCTCGAGAAGAATGGATCGATCTTTATCAAGCTGGGACAGCATTTGAGTAGCATGGGCTACCTGCTTCCGTCGGAATGGACTACAACCTTTATCCCGCTCCAGGACAAGTGCCCCGTGTCCTCGATTGAATCGATCGAGGAAATGTTCGTGGCCGATACAGGACGTCGTATCGACGAGCTGTTCTCGTCCTTCGATCCCGAGCCCATCGGTGCCGCTTCTTTGGCGCAGGTGCACATTGGTACGCTGAAAGAAACAGGTCAAAAGGTTGCGGTCAAGGTGCAGCATCCCGCATTGGCGGAGTGGGTGCCCCTGGATCTGGCCTTGACTCGGTTTACCTTCTCGATGCTGAAGCGGTTCTTCCCTGAATACGATCTGGAATGGCTCTCTCGTGAAATGGACCTGTCTCTGCCCCAGGAGCTGGATTTCCGAATGGAGGCGGAGAATGCCACGCGGGCGAGCGAGTACTTCAAGAGGCACTCGGATGCCCCGTTGGTCATCCCCGAAGGTATGCCTGGTTTAATCACAGTCACCTTTACCCAGCAAGCGCATACTAACACCAGCCAGTGATGTGGTCTCAAAAGCGTATCCTGGTCATGGAGTTCATCTCCGGCCGACGTCCCGACGATCTCGAATTCCTCGACTCGAACCACATTGACCGCGACGAAGTCTCCGCTGCTCTGGCACACATCTTCAACGAGATGATCTTCGGTAACAACGCACCTCTGCACTGTGATCCTCACGGCGGCAACATCGCCATTCGCCCGAACCCCAACCGCCGCCGGCACAACTTCGACATCATCCTCTACGACCACGGTCTCTACCGCGACATCGACCAGGACCTACGGCGCAACTACGCCAAGCTCTGGCTGGCCGTGATCGAGTCCGACCTGCCGCGCATGCGCGAGTACGCGCGCAAGGTTGCCGGCATCACGGACGAGCAGTTCCCACTCTTCGCCAGTGCCATCACCGGTCGTGACTACATGGTACTTAAAAAGAAGGATATCGTGTCTGCCCGTACCTCGGCAGAGAGAGAAAGCATGTCCGGCTCTTTGGCCGATGGTCTCCTGCAGCAACTAGTCGAACTTCTAGGCCAAGTACCTCGGATCATTCTGCTGATTCTCAAGACCAACGATCTGAGTTAGTTCCCACCCCTCGCCTTCTTTATCTATCTGCCTCTAATTAATATTGTAAAATAGCCCGCAGTCTGGACGAGAACCTCCACACCCGCCAAGGACCTATGCGCACCTTCCTGATTCTCGCCCGCTACGCCACCCGCACCGTCTTCGAAGAGCAAATGGACTCTGTCAACGAGACCGGAGGTATCCTGCGTCCTGGGAACTTCTGGCGCTTCCTCTGCGCTTGGACTGGGTATCTGCGCGTCGAGTTGAAGTTGTCAGTTTATGAGACGTTGCTTTCGCTGAAGAGTCGGTTCGGGTTGGTTTGATAATATTGTATATTTTTCTTTTTTTCTATTCTTATTCTTTCCTTTCTCCCTTTTCTTTACCCCCTTTCCCCTTGGTTTTGAATCCCCCTGCTACGCAGTAATTGATTGATATCGATAGAGGGCATATGCATGCGGTGTTGTGCATTGGCGTTTCTCTTTTCCTTTTCCCACTACCTTTACCGTTTCAGCTTTACCTGTGATTTTGTTGATCTAGACTATTGGTTTTCAGTCATCGTGTTGTCTACTTATTGATGTTGAAAAGAATCTGCGCTCTGTACTTTGTACATATAGAATTCCTACCTCATTATCTTACTATCTATGATATCTACTATCTATAAAACCATATACATTATCTAGAAGCCCCTACATATCCAATCAACCCAGACACTAAGTAGCCATAACACCTAAACTTCTACATCAAAACCCACAACCCATATATACATACTATCAGGGAAGGTTAAATAGATATATAAATAGAAAGATAAGTAAGTACCTTGGTAGCCACTCCCAATCTAGAAAAGAAAGAAAAATCACAGGACAATTAATTCCATTACTTCTGCAGAGTTATCAGATCTAACTAACTAGCTAGCTAATCTAAGCCTTGTGCGTGCGCGTACCTTGGGAGACATACTTCATGCACCACATCTAGACTACTGTCACAGAGTAGAGCTTAAATCAAAAACTAAAGTGGTTATCGCTAGGTGTTGCGCTTATCAGATGGGGCTTTTCCCTTTTCTGTGTCCACTTGTAAGTTAGTTGCCTGTGCTGTGCTGTGCTGTGCTGCATCGTATGATGTCAGTGGCCATAGCTGAGTTGACTGGTGGCGAATCAGATAACTTTCTCTTCTCTTTCTACTATCTTTGTCTTTCGATGATGTTCGGTCTATTTATTGTGTAGTTTATGTTGTGATTATGGTAGGATGTATGTAGATATAGAGAGAGAGAAATACATTATATTGTGTTACTACTGTGATTGTTGTTGTATATATCCGGATAATCCCTTCTTTAGTTGTCTTGCTGGAAATGAAATGCAGAAAGAAAAGAAAAACATCATGTGGGAAAAGAATAATGAAATGCTATACACCATTTAATAAACAAAGGGAAAAAAACAGTCCATCCAATCCAGACTGACAAGCAACAAGATATTTTGGGGGAATCACATATTCGACCCAGGCCATTCCATTCACTCCACACCACCATAGGCCAAATCCATACAGTTCACATCGCAACTCATCTCATCTCCATTGTATCATTCTGCTTTGCTCTTCTCTCCAGCACTCTTAATCGGGAATCAATCATGGTATCTGTATCCGTATCCGTATCCATTTTTGCTCCGTATATTTTTGGTTTTTCAGATTTTTCACTCGTTCGTAAAAGCTAGAGAAAAGACTTAAGCAGTTGCGCTGCTGGTCTTCTCAACCTCCACCTGCACTTCCGGGATAGAAGCACCCGTGCCGGACAGATCGGTCTTCACGGTGCGAGGGTTCTTGGTGTAGTAATCCGAGATGGCGGACTTGATGGCGTCTTCGGCAAGCATGGAGCAGTGCACTATCAGAATATGTTAGCTTTATCATTTCTCCCCCGATTTCTTCCAATCCTCTCGTCTCCACAGTAGCAAGGGATAAACATACGCTTAACAGGGGGCAAGCACAACTCCTTGGCGATATCGGTGTTACGGATCTTAGCGGCCTCGTCGAGGGTCATTCCACGGACCAGCTCAGTCAGATAACTCGAGCTGGCAATAGCGCTACCGCAACCGAAAGTCTTGAACTTGACGTCGCTAATCTTGTTGCTGTCCTTGTCGACGCGGATCTGGAGTTTCATGACATCGCCACAGGCCGGGGCGCCGACGAGTCCGGTACCAACGTCCATCGACTTGGCCATGGAGCCGACGTTTCCTACAGGGATGCTCGTTAGTATTCATTTTCACGTTTGTTCGTATATGTCTGGTGAGCGTGATTTGCAAGCGCTGCGTGTTGTATATTTTGATGCGACGTGATGTTGTCGAGAGGGATGGATGCAGGAAGCTACCTACTTGGGTTGGAGTAGTGGTCCAACAGTGCAGGGATGGTCAGCATTTTCTTCGGTTTTTCAACATGATGAAAAGGGGAGGGGGAATAAACATATCTTTCTCATGGTATCCTCTGCGCTGCTGCTGCTGAGGAGCAACGACGGTCGACCTCACGGCTTGCTGGATTCCGGAGACGGCCGGGGTGACGCTGCGAGGCGAAAGGACGCCGGAGCGAGGGACAACTGTTACTAGACGACGGAACATTGTGTATGTGATGTGTGTGAGATATTAAGAGGAAAGTAAGGTATTGATTAGACAGTAGATTGATGATGGAAAAGAATAGGTGAGTGGTGAGGTCGGGGTTGGGTGGTTAGTTAGTTTGGGAAGAGTTGGATGTGATGAAAGATTGATAGTTGCGATTGATTAATTATGGTTTCTTTGGGGGGGGGAAACTTGACTAAGGCCGTCTTATTCACCGGCGCTAGGCGATTTCGAGAAACCCCGTTGCCTCCGCGGAGCCGGCCTCGGAGATAGGGTATGACGTTAAAGCGAACCGGTGGGTGGATTAGGAGTTATGCTGGGGTACTGTTACTCGTTTGGAACAACCTAGGATGAGAAGCTATCTGATTGAATGATAGGAACTGACACGTTCTACCAGAGAATCACGGTTGGGGATGCCAGTTCTGTGGCCTACAACTGAGAGGGTAACCGGGAGTTGTAGTTCTGGGTCCGCCGGTTCTTACCAAGAAGGAGAACCGGCAGTTTCGGCCAACGGGAAGTTCTGCAGGCGGGCATTACCAAGCGGTACGGAGCAGAGCAGCGGCTGGTATCGTAAGGATGGGCTTATCTGCTCGCCCTCCATCTGATAATGTTTCCCTCCCTCGGATTATCCCGGCCCGAGCATAGCATGCCTCTCGCACGCCCTGCAGTGGCTCTAGAACCTTTTCAGTTAGTAAGACTTTGCTTAGTTGTTTACTTAGACTGGTTAAGTTATCCCGGATGACTTTGGTCGAGAGCGATCCTTCCTGGCCAACAGTCAGTCCCTCTCCTCTTACAAGGAAGAACGTAAACCATGGCCGGAAAGACACTAGGCCGATCATCGGGCGTGAGTCACTCTTCTTTTCTTGTTCTCTTGAAATTAGTAGTGGTAGCAGTTGCAAGTTGGGTCCCATGACTTGCTGCGAAGTATATATTCAATTTCCATTGAACAGCACACACACTACTCCAGATGATCACCAGTCACCATAACTACTAGTTAGTAATTAACATATCGATGAACAGTCTCTCAATGCCCCAATAGCCGCCTTCACCATGGCCCTACTACTTGGCTCCTACTGCATCAAATCCATCCACACCGCTCGTCGCGAGGCACAATCCACGTCAAGCACCACAACCACTACGCCCCGACCCAGAAAGGCAGAGTCGCAGTCTTCATGGGTACAGCAGGCACTTGAAGAGAGTCGAGAGGGGGAAAAGAAGGGATCTCAGTGATTGATTTGGGGCAGGACTGAGTGTAAATCTTACAAGCTATGCATTGTACATATTGTTGTAATTGCTGTCTGGATATCTGGGACATTCTCTCAAAATTTACTGCATTAAAGAGCACACACACAAAACAATATGATATAGCTAATATAAACATCGTGCGACAGCCAACAGCACAAACACAATATAAAAAGCATCATATCAAATAATCCATTATCAGAATTTTCAGTGTATCAATGATCACATCCATGTTTGATAACAGGATCTACCATTAAAAATTATTCATCATATAAATGGAGTCAAATGATAGTGATCACCAGAACACACACAAACAACAATTGAATTGTAGAAAAGAGTAGCAGTCGGATATGCATCAATCATCATAAGCACAAACACATTATTGCGCAGCAGAAGAATGACATTACCCAACAGTGTCGGTTAATATTCGTATAATATGGCTTTCATTATAGCCATGGTTGGTGGGAAGGAAACAAACCGCACAGAGAATTTCGCCGGCGGTTTTTAGTGTGTCCTCTCACGTGACTTTCCCGCTGATGTCATGCGGGAAACGAACGGAGGGGGCAATGCGGCTGCATGCATGATTGAAGGATGTATCGCCCCAAGACTTTTTGTCATGAATTGGCTGGGTAATTGTTAATAAGTGTTGATTGCTATTCATCTTACTACGGAGCATATGTTCTAGAGGGAAGATTTGTATGTATATACAATCGCAATTGAGGTTTATCAATTCGGGAAAAAAAAAAAACAAGAACGCTCAGAACCATAACCACCAAGGAATCAGCAACTCAGAACATGACTAGTTTGTTCGAATTTCACATGTCAGCACACCATGCATCTACCCCTACTCAGCAGGGTGGTGTCATTGCGCCGAGGATGTGTCAAAGGATCAGAACAACGTGCTGACAGGATATCATGGGCTGCAGCCCAGGCAATGAATGTCCTCTATGGTAGTGTATCTTGGCAATGTACGACTAGCACGGAACAAAAATGAAATCGCTAGGTGCAAAAAAATCCCAGCATAGGTGCGATGCTCATGGCTCGCCACCTCGTCACAGACCATCCGTCTAGTATTTAGATTCCACTGTCTGATGTGGCCTCCAGCTTCTGCAACTTCAGCTCTCCCTCATGTTGCACGTGTCCAATCGTTTTCTTCAAGTACTCATAAGTGAGCATGGTAGTCATCGCAGCCGGGACCGCCCGGAACAGATTCGTGCCGATCCCAGAGTAGAACGCGCGCCAGCCTTCTTCTCTCAGAATGGTCTGGCATGTGCGAATGATTCCCGTGTACCGGGGTCGATTGGGCATTCCGTCCGACGAAGCAGCACCCGGGGGCCTGCTATGACCCTGGGGGTGATCCATCCCGCCGCGGAACGAGATCTCTTCGGGTGAGGCCGCCGGTGATGTCCTCTGCTGTGTTTGGAGTCGTGTCCGAAGCACTTCATGCGGGTATGTCGCAGTGCTGGCACACACCTTACTCAGGAATGTCGCAGATGTAATGCCCACCCAGTGTGAGCTGCCAGTATCGGGATGTTCGCCAATACTATAGCCAGTAAACGCCATCTTCAGATATTCGTAAAGAGGGAACTGGATGGCCACATGCGCCAGCCCCAGCAGCGCTGGGGTAAGGCCGGAGTAGAACGAACGAATCCCTTCACTTCTGTACATTTTGCGGGCCGCATCCCATGTGTTTTTGTATTGCCAAGGAGCCCGGTAGCCTTCGCTGCTCGACCGGAGGCTCTGTGACATAAGTCGTGTCTTAATCACCCAAATTGGATTCGTCGCAAGGGTCGAGCAAGCGCCCGCCGTTATGGAGGCGTAACCTCGTGAGAGCCACCAACTATCTGTTCCACTGTCAGCCTCACCATCACCCATTCTCCGTAGCATCACTCCTCACCTGTTGTTTCGTAGAAATACTCCCGAGACCGATCGTAGACCGCCAAATAGACGGCCCACGTCGGCAGGTATCCCAGGAGCATGGGACCCAATCCTTGATAAAGGCCTCGAATACCATCCTCCCGCCATATTACTCGTCCAGTTCCTAGCATGCCCCGGTACAGTGTTTTGGCCTCGACCGCCTTGCCACGTCGTCGCGCGAACCCACCCTGAGCCTGCAGCTTGGTCTTGATCACATCGAGAGGGCAGGTGACAATTCCCGAGGCTACGCCCGCACTGGCCCCGCAGAACGGCGTGATGTAATAATCCGGCACACGTGTAGCGAGCATTTCGAAGCGATCGAGAAGAGTGGGCTGGGATGGGGACTCGGCCGATACATGAAGCGTCGACGAAGGCGAACTGTCCGAAGTTGTACCCTGCTGCTCTTGAGAGCCGCTGGCAGCCCCCGAAGGGCCATGGCCTTCAGAGAACATCTTTCCAGCCAGCACTCAAAGCAGTATGCAATCCGTCTACTATGTCACCGAGGGTTCCCGGATCCGAGCATATCGGTGCTCGCTCCGGAACCCAAGAATAACCCGTGTGTCAAATCGTGGTGAGAGGGGAGGAAAGCGTGACGTCGTTCGGGGCGCTGGTAGAACAGGAAAAACTACCCCGAGACAATGAATTGAAGGGTTTTTTCTTTCGCAGAGAGGAGCCGATGCTGCCGGGAGGAGTGGGCGTAATAAGGTTGGCCTATCTGAAGCACAGACGGGGCGGGGTTTGTAGGAGCAACGCAGCTCCCCTATCGGAGTGAAAGGGAATCGAACTAAGAAAAATGTTCAACGGATAGATAATAAGCGGCATGCCCAGTGAGTACAAACCAAAGTATCAGAAACAAAGACCGTCGGGGTGAAGTCCGAACAGATGGGAGCGCCGGTGTTAAGAGGAGGCAGACGGAACAGGACGGAGCAATGAGGACGGGATGAATTGAGCTGGAGGGATTGTCTTAGTCGTATTCCAGTCAGTCAGGTGGAGTGGAGTCGGGAATGAGTGAGTGAATCTTGTCCGCCTCCAAGCGCGCCGCTCTTCTGGCCTGAGGCAACCATGGCGCAAGCTGAGCCGGTCACGTGGAAACCAGTCTTACAAAGTAACTTCTCGGAATGATTCCTCCTGCCTCAGGCACCAACATCGGATGTTTTTCGGAAAGTCACCCGCCGAACCTCCGTTTTGCACAATCTCCAACGTCGGGCCATCTCCTGCTCAGCTTGACTGACATTTCGCGATCCTCCCCCTCCACACCACCCCGTCAATTGGACCCGAACAACCCCGCTGGGATCAATCACCATGTCCGCTCCCTCCCTCGCCAGCTACATCGTCAAGCGCCCCTTCCTCAAGCGCTGGATGATGCCCATTGCCCAGTGGTACACCGATGCCTCTGGCTACAGGAGACTCGGCTTGAAGTAGGCGATCCCCTTGCCCTCATGGGTGGTTTCCCGGACCAACATCAGCGACTACGAATCAATGGAAGAGACAATGGATAGATTTCAATTGCGGGAGATATATAATCAGCACCCTCCACTTGACTATCCATATCATGTTCCTGCCGTCGCCCGCTGGTCCGGGCATTACGAACCAACCCATAATCAACCTCCATTGCAGCATCAACTAACAATCAAACCAGGGCTGATGACCTGATCCCCGAGGAGAACGACGTCGTCCAGAAGGCCCTCAAGCGTCTCCCTCCCAAGGAGGCCTACGACCGTATCTTCCGCATCCGCAGAGCATTCCAGGTCCGTCCTCACACACCGAAATCCAACCACAGAAGAACATAAAACTAACATAATATGCGCGAAACAGTGCTCCATCTCCCACACCCTCCTTCCCGCTGCTGAGCAGACCAAGCCCGAGGAGGTGAGTCGATTTCCGCGTTCTTCAATCCGTCAATTGTCCGTTCAGTTTCTCCGCAAAAACGCATCGGCCAATCCCGTGAGCGGGATTTGTAACCCACCTGGGTTACTCCATACCGATGCTTATGGTGACTGGACTTGATATATTGATGTCCCTGATATATTATTTGACGCGTTTAAGACCATATTCGTGTCGTGGATGCTAACTGTCATCGTCCCCAGGATGTCGAGTACCTGAGCCCCATCATCCGCGAGATCGAGAAGGAGAAGCAGGAGCGTGAAGACCTCGACGCCCTTGTCGTCAGACGGTAGATTATGTCTCTGGCTTCGCTGAACTAGATTACTTTTGTTACGGTATACAAAAATGCCGCTGGGGTTTTATAGACGGGCGGGAATACTAAGTATCAGAGAGAACTTGCTGTCCCGGCTCGGCTCGGCGGGCATGCTGCGAAGAAGAGAGGGAGGAGAGAGAGAGCATTTGGCTGGTTGTTAATTGAAGCTTTTGATTTATGGTGCTCAATCACGTGTACTGATACTGTACAAATTCACTCGTCATCGTTCTCTAGTTGGCTTGTAGCTTTCAGCTTATGCGTGGTTCATGATACATGCCCGGTATAGAACCTATATACGTTCCACACCTTCTGTGTAATGTACATATAGTAGCTCTACCCACTATACCTATCGGATGTCTGGTTCTATATCCTGTCTGTATATAGTCGTAATCTACCCACCCAACACAGCAATATTAACATCCGTCACCCGCCACATATACCACATGAACAAGCTCCTAGTACGGATGTCAGACAACAAGCCCACAAGGACATACATCAACGGGCATCACATACCTATACGGAGCAAACTTCGCCGCCAGCTCCAACATATCTTTTTCAGGCATATACTTGAACTTACCGCCGCCCTTCCCCTTCAACTTGTTTACATCCTTGCCCACAAACACCGCACAACCTCTCCTGCAACAACACAAGTCAGCATCTACCCAATTCACCCACAGATAATCACATACTGTACACCCAAATCACCCGTAGAAAACACATCTATCCGCTTCAGAGCAAAACAAGCAAACATCTCAACAGACCATTTGCCCAAGCCCCGCACAGCAGTCAACTTCTCAACGAGTTCCTCGTCACTAGCATTCAATAACATCCGGGCGCTCAGTTCCCCGTTGGCAAACTTCTCCGATAACCCATGTATGTATTCCGCCTTGCGCTGGGACAGACCTGCTGTCCGGAGCGTGCTGATATCCATCTTGATGATTTCCTCCGGGGTAGGGAAGAAGCTCGGTCTCGTACCATCCTCATCCTTATTATTTGTCTTGAACAACGCCACAAACTTATCCTTAATCGACTTCGCCGCTGCTCCTGACACCTGCTGTCCAATGATACTACTAACAAGGCTCCGAAACGGGTCGATCTCCTCGGCTAGGCCCTCGGGCGTGAACAACGGACAGGGCTGTTCGCGGATGAGCGATTCGAGACGCGGATCCGTGGCGATCAGGTGTGCGGCTGCTTTCTCGAGAAGCGTGCCTGTTGTGGCGGTGGGACGGGGCCGGCCTGTCTTGCTTGGTGATGCGTCCGCATCTGTGCCCGGGGGGTATGCAACTAGCGATGAGCCATGGGGGGTGAGGAGCGTTGCGTTGGTGTGGTGCGGTTCGACCGGTCGATCGAGCGGGGGAGGGGTCGTTCTGCTGCTGGAGGTGTGAACTGTGGGGGTGGGGATGGGGTCCCAGATGTTGTTAGTAGTGGCTGTAGTAGTAGTATTGGGTGATTGTCTGCTGTTGTTTGAGCGTGATGATGATGATGATGATGATGATGATGATGTTGGTGAATCTGTGAGGGGAGGAGCTTGGTCAAGTTGGAGAATCGCATTTAGCTGCGCTTTCTTGCCCCTTGCTGCCGCTGCAGCAGGCTTTCGTGTCTTTGAGACACCGTTTGTAGTTCTGCTGGCTGCTCTCTTTGTTTGAGTTTTGGGTTGCAGATGTGGGACAGTGGTGGTGGTGGTGCTGTTGTTCTTGGACACTGACGCTGCAGTTAGACGAGCGGAGCGTCGCAGGGTCATCATTGAATCAGTCGCTTCTCAGCAGTGTGTACTCTAGTTAAGAATATAGATGATTTAAGAGTAATTGGGGTAAGGATATTATCGCTGTTGCTGTTTGTAGGTAGTATGGACCAGTCATGGCGGTTAGTGTTGTTGGAGTACTATGATGAAGGATGGAGTACATAAGCTCGGGAAGTCACGAGCAGCTGTCTTAGCAATCAATGATATCAACCATGGTTGATTTCCTCTTTGTTTGTCTGCCTGGTTTCCATACCGCTTCTTGTTGCGGTTTTCTCTGCATGCGCGGTGGTCTCTCATCCCCCGCATTTGAAAGGTGCTTCAGTTTGAGGTCTTCAGTCAGTTATGGTGTCATATGACATTCCGTGGTTAGACACGCCGTATGTTGAGTAACATAGTAAACCTGCAGAATCATGGGTTATGGATATGATTAGTCTAGAAAATGAAATTCAGAGTTTATTGTGAATCATGATATTCCTCCAGATTTCAAACTGAACATCATGATGGCGAAATGTTCCTTGGAATCTAACTGGTGACAACTACTCCGTACAGCAAACTGAAAGTCTGATGCCGGGCTGTCCAATCCCTAACTTAAAATATACATTCGTTCTAAGCCGATACCTACTAGAACCCATCTCCCAACCACACTTAATTATGTAGCATCAGTAGCAATAGCCCCATCCACGGTTCGCGGATGTTTTCTTCTAGTATATTAAGGATATGGAAAATTTACCCGGCATGGAAACTCCCGGAAAGAGGAGCCAGAGAAATCGAAGAGGTAATCAATTATGGATCTCGCGATGCGTAGGCATCAATCAACCCCATTGCAGGAAAAAAAAAAGCTTCTATCAGAACCACCATCCCCCTCCACCAGACGTTGCGATTCATTTATATGAAAGGAAACTGTCCGATTGGCCATGTTCCACCGGTCATTTGTTGTACTCGTAAGGCTTTCTTTCAATCCGACGTTCGCAGTCATCGCTACATACCCCATAGAGGAAAATATAATTGATGTGTTGGCCCACGATGATAAGATGCGGAAGATCACCGAAGTCGCAACATGACTGGTGTTCATATTTTTAGGCTACTTAGTAGCTAGTACTTTAGAGTCGGACGAGGACGACCCGGACGCAGTGCCCACTGTGCGAGCTTGCGCGTCATCTTTATAGAATTTTTTTTCAAGACAAATAGACGTTGTGCATCCACGTAGGTAAAGTAGTTGGGAGAGGTGGCCCAGCCACCAACTAGATAACTAAGTGACCACAGAATCCTCCATTGACAGTGAAGTGGGTGGTTGTGACTAGCGAAGAACTTACAAAGTACCAAGGTATAGATTCCCCTAGGGTAAGCCGGTTCCATGGAATGATATGTTCATCCGTGGTTAGTGATTGGTAAGTAGGTCTAGTCCATCAGGTAAAGTAAATAACAATGAGCGACGCCTAAAGGGGGCGTACCGACAATCCTCCGCTGGTCGCCATCGAGAGGCGAGTGGATTTTGTAAGTATGCCCATCCACTTTCCATCATCTTTTGCCCGAATGGGCATCTAACCCCCGTATTGGGTACTCCGTGTACAAACAAGCATCGGTTTATCTATACCGAGTATCTTATCCCGAGAAAAGAAAAAGCTTCGCTCTTCCAAAGGAGGAGGAAGCATACGTTGCTTTGCCCCGCCCATTGAGGTTGTGAACATCACGGGGTGTGGCTAAGAAAAGGGGGGGTCGGCATTGGACGAGGTTACTATGGTGATGATGGTCGGGTGAGTTGTCCCATGCCGTCAAGCTGATCCGGCCGGTCCCCTACTGTTGATGCTAAACCATTAGTGAGCGGATTGGGTCGTTCCAGCCATGATAGGGGGCAAATAAGATAGATGATTTATAGTTCAATCTGATGGATAGGAGGAAGTTATGATGCGCACTACTCGGCAAAGTACCGTATGAAGAGGGCGGATCATGAAGTGTCCCGGGAGTGTTAAATGCCAGAATCAGTCCGATACTCTTGAGTCTCAATTAACAGTGCTGGATGATCTACCAAAAGATGAAGTATATTCCGTCCTCGGTGATCTATACACACGACTTGACCCCAACCCCTCTACATCATAAGTTGTCATACTGGATGCGTCAGACTGGGAGACCATATTCATCCTTATCAGGCATAACAGTGCTAGCCGGTTCCAGCCACCCGCGTCTAGTGGCGTTTGGGAGAACGTGCCCGGTGGTAAGATTTATCGGCTACTTCATTAGTACATGCGCTTCATTACGCAGCGTCAGAAGTGAAACATCGGCAATAAAAGAAGTGCAGTGCTCGCCGTGGCAAAGCCGAGGTTGAAGTAATCATCATTTGAGAGGCAATCCGACCAACTCCAAATATAACCACCGCGAACAAGAACTAGGAAACTTCATTAAAAGTCAGTTGCAAGGGCGTCTCGCGCCACTTAACTAAGGAGCGAGATTATCTTCCAGGGCAGTCTTATTATTGCGACGGATAGTTGTGGAGTAGGAATGGGTCTGATAGCTGAAGAACTCTAAACGGATCGAGAAAGAACAAGCAATAGTGGCAGCGACCACGGCGATCGCGTTTTGCCAGGTTTTGATGATGCCCGCGGGATTCTCCTCGCAGGTAATCAAACATCCATTATTTCTTTTTGTGACGGGTGAGAGGATAATAACGACGGAGAATCCCTTACAGTGCATAGCCGGATGTATACATGAGATCTGACCCTTTCTGCAACCGTTCAAGATCTGAGACTAGGATGGAATTTTGTCTCGCTTTGAGAGTCTTTGCTAGGCGCCTATATATCATGTCATATCATGGATGTTTCGAGTCATTGCCACTATGAAGTTAGCATGGGGAGAATGCGCCTATGGGCAAACAGCTTTGGACTCTGGCTGGCCGCGCCGGGAGAGTCTAAACATCTTATCCAGCCGGCCAATTTCTATCGCGGTATGGTAAGTAAGATACAGCGACTAGGAATTACAGCACCAGCACTCGGAGTACTTTGTGGCCAGGCCAAGTGGGGGCCACTAAAAGTGGGTATGGGAGTTACAGCCGTGTTACGTATAGCTGTAAGACACACGTGATACTCCCCTCTCAGAGCCATCGATTCGCCACTTTATTATTAGCTTCCCGAGACATTGTTTTGTTATGATTCGGTATCCACTGGTACCTGAAGCCAAGACGAGAATTGAGTTTTCAGGCATGAGGTCCAGCGCATTCATCTTGGAAGTCAAAGAACAAGGACAAGAATGAGTTCAACCTGCAAACGGGGATCACGGTAGTGCCACAGAATGGACCGTTATAACATTTACCTTTCTTTCTTTTTTTTTTTAGGCCTCAGTTGTCTGCCGTTTTCTACACACATACGTGTCAAGAGGCAAAAGCAACTCCAAGGCATCTAGGCGACCGAAATTCCAACGCGAACAGGGCGCTGCATACCAACGTAAGGCAGGCGAAGGACTTGTGAGGGACGGAGTCGAGTCCGCACTTGGAGGAAAAGCGGGTCCCCCTTAGATTCCAATAAATTCAGATCGACCACTATACAGCGACCGGACTCGCTAGGTGTTGTTGAAATTGATACTAGCATTCTTAGAAGGTTCGTGGTGTCACTCATGCTGCGCTGGCGATGAGAAAAACAAGTTGACTTGGTTGCGGTTGAGTGGGAAAGGGATAAATAATAGGCGAACAATATCGATGGTGGAGTGAAGGGATAAGCCAATACCGTGTTGGCAATAAGAGTATATCCTCCATAGATAGGAATCTACCTACTCCGTATACTGTAGATAATTAGTCGACCTCACTAGATCACAGGCCATGGCCGTTCAATGAGATACATGTATAATTTGTTCCTGGTATAGGATGCTAATATTAGTCAGGACCTCCCTAGCAATGCGCGATTGGGGTCTGGCCCCTCCTAGCGGCAGGATGCTAAATTTGTCAGTATTGTTACCTGCCACAACGAATGTCCGTGATGTATCGAGTCGCATTCCATCAGAGGAGTCACCTGTCAGTTGTGGTTGACGATTTTCTGATGGTTTCAGCAGTGAGTTGCTGATGTTTTGAGAGAGAGGCGGGGGCGCCAATGGTTAATGCCGAGTTGTTCATAGAATTCAACACAAGTCCGATCAACTATTTGTTGTATGACGTTTTTGTGTTGTGAATCGGAAGCCCACTGCACCATGCATAATCCAGAAAAACGGGGCCAGACTTTTTCGATACAGTCAAAAATACGGAGTAAAATTGCCTGCGGGAGGGATGATTGCTTGGAGTCCGATTTCAAGCTGCCGCATCGGCTCGAGCATCGTACACAAGCACTAGAAGCCTATGCTTGGTATGAATGGTCAGGACTTACTGAAAGACCGGGGGAAGAAAGGGAAGAAGGGGGGAGGAAGAGGAGCCAGAGGGCAGGCAGAACGAATCAGCAGACGCATGAGCAAGAAGTTGGTCATTGGCGAGGTGTTACAGGATGGAGCAGACTAAACCAAATGGACCGACCATTCGTTTCCAGGACCAAGATCAGGATTCCTCGATTTCTTTTTCCGCTCTCCGTTACCGTGGGCCAATCGCCCCTCGAAGTTAATTAATTAAACCCGGACAGGTACAGGAAAGTGAGTAAATTACGGTACGGGCAGCGTTCATACGCAGGTCCGGTAACGTCGCAAGGAGAGAAAGGCGCCCCCCTCCCCGGTCTCAGGTCCACCAGCCTTTTCGGGGCCACGACTCCTTTCTTGCCTTGGTTTGTCCTCCCTGAAAGTCTTCCCACTTTCTTCTGAAGAAGATTTTCTTTTCCAGCCATCCAGTCCTTCTTTTCCCTTTCCTCTCTCGTTTCTCTCGCTTTCCTCTGTCCTTCCCTTCTTCTTTCCCCTTCTTCCCTTCCCGTGCAAATCGTGCCTGCCTAACCCGCGCACTTTCTCTCGCTGAGGGTCTTCGCTCATAAAGCTTCTCCTTCGTTGAAGCTCTTCTCCATTCGCTCGCTCGCTTATTTATTGTCTCACAAACCCCCCTTCAGCTCTTACGCTGCTATCCGTGTCAACAAAGGGCCTTGCCTCGCCCCAGTTCGCATACTTAACCAACAGCCGTCATTGGTAGGTCAACCTCTTCATCAAGCTGCTGTCTGATCTGTTTATCTTTTGCGCCTGCCACGACTGGGATTGGATCTGTTGGATTGGAAGGGCCTTGGCAGTGGTTTAGGAGCAGACGAAGCGAACATTGGTGACTGACATCTTTTCGACTATACAGTCTCAAGTTATCCTAAGCAATGGCTTTCATCAAATACGCCCTCCCCGCTCTTGCTGCGGCCCAGGCCGCCATGGCTGCCAGTGAGTACCACCAGCGATAATCTGGATGAAGTGAGCAGTGAACGGCAATGACTGATGACAATGTAGGCTGTGGTAGCAGCGGCAGCACCATCACCATCTCCAGCCAGAGTGACCTTGACAGCTACGCCACCTGCACCACCCTCAAGGGTGATGTCGAGATCAGCGAGAGCGCCTCTGGTGACCTCACCCTCAACGGTGTCACCTCCATCGCTGGTGGACTGAGCTGCACCGGCGGCAGCAACATCACCTCGTTCAGCTCCTCCTCCCTGAGCTCCATTGGCGACACCTTCAAGCTGGACGGTCTCACCACTCTCACCACCCTCAGCTTGACCAACCTCACCAGCGTTGGCTCCATCTCCTGGACTGCTCTCCCCGAGCTGCAGTCCCTTGACTTCACCAAGGGTGTTTCCGAGGCCGGCAGTGTCACCATCACCAACACTGGTCTTACCAGCTTGGATGGTATCTCCCTCAAGACTGTCGGTACCTTCGACATCACCGAGAACACCAACCTGAAGACCGTCAACGTCAACGAGCTCACCAACGCCACTGGTCTGATCAACTTCGCTGGTAACATGGACTCCCTGCAGATTATCCTGCCCAACCTCGGCACCGGTACCAACATGACCTTCCGTAACGTCAGCGGTGTCTCCATCCCCTCTCTCGAGACTCTCAGCGGTCAGCTCGGTTTCTGGGGTAACACCTTCACCAACTTCAGCGCTGCCAACCTCACCACCACTGGTGACCTTGTCTTCGACGACAACACCAAGCTGAACAACATCAGCATGCCCGTCCTGAAGACCGTCAACGGTGGATTCCAGATTGCTCGCAACGACAAGCTTAAGTCCATCAACTTCCCCGATCTGAAGGAGGTCACTGGTGCCATTGACTTCAGCGGTGACTTTGACGAGTAAGTTTCCCATGTTAGTTCTGATGAGTCGCATTGTTTGCTAACACGTTTACAGGGTTTCCCTCTCTTCCCTGACCGAGGTCAAGGGTGGCTTCAACATGCAGAGCACCGGTAACTTCAGCTGCAGCGCCTTCAAGACCCTGCGTGAGAACAACGTCATCCGTGGTACCTACACCTGCAAGGCCAGCACTTCCGACCCCACCACCAGCGATGGATCCTCTGGCACCACCACCTCGACCGGCAGCAGCAGCAGCTCTTCCTCCACCAGCAGCGACAGCGCCTCCGTCATGAACGTGGCTAACATGCCCGCTCTTGGTCTTGCTGCCGTCCTCGGTGGTCTGATCCAGTACGCTCTGTAAAGGACAACTTGATACCAAACATTTGTGTGTACGCTTTTTTTGAAACCCTTATCATGGTCGTGTAAAGTTGCCTAATAAGCAATTGGTTTCCTTTAATTCCAGTACTGTGCTGTTCTTATGATAATAATTGAATATCGGTTTGCTTGAGCCAAAATTCGCACGGCGTGGCATTGTGCCTCGGGAGATGAATTGCTTTCATTTTTTTCCCCTTCAATTTGAGCATGAGCATCGAATTTATTTTATTGAGTCGTGACTGGTGAGCGGGTCGAGGGAGGGTCATAATTGTACGAACCGGACACCTGGCGATTTGCGCGAGGTGGCTGGGCTGCTGCGGTCAGGCCCCTTCTCGGCCCTGTGAGCTGTCGGATTGTGTTCTATAGACGTTCCTTTGCAGTTTACGTGTGCGTTTTTGCTACATGACAGTATGTTGTTTTACTCTATACGCTAATTCGCCGTCCATAATTGACGTATCCTATTTCTCATTCTCAATTGAGATTGCCTCCATCCTTCTGCCTTTCTAAGTATGTCTTGGTCGGGTCTGGCCTGGTCTAGTCCGGGGGATGGCGACTGGAGTCTGCCGTCTTGGGTTGTATGTACTTATGTCCTTAGTTTTGCAGCAGGATTAGGGTCTCGTGCTGTCCGTCCGTCCGTCTTCCTGTCTGTCTGCCTGTCAGTCTCACTAACTGCTGCTGCTGCTGCTGCTGCTGCTGCTGCTGCTTGACCGTGGCGAACGGAAAGTTAAAGCCCGCGCAGATGACCGGCTCTTGCCTCCCCTCCCACCTCCCGACCAGGTGCATATGCGAGAATGCAATGCTGGCCGTAAGACACCTCAGAAGTGGGCTCCAGGCAGTAAGCAGATGCCATCCTCTCTCTGGTTGTCTCCCCCTTTGTTTTTTCCTTCTTTTCCCTTGTAAACTCGTAGTAGCATGTAGCATGAAGATAGGCGAGTAAGTCTATTAATCGAACCAACTCTTTCCTTTCCTACTTGCTCAAGTTTTTAAGTCTGAGGAAGACCCGACACTTACTGTATACTAGTGTAAGTACCGTTATGTCCTCGCATTCATTTACTTAATCCGTCATCGTGGATCTGAGGCATCGATCCGTTGGATTCATGGCTCGTGAATGGAGTAGGTGGGTGATATGCAATCATACCTACTACTTACCTACTTAGATACATATACATACATACGGAGTACATATTTCCAGGAGTGAGTGTGGATGTGAGTGTGAGTGGAGATTTCCGGGAAAACCGAGTGAGTGAGCATGAGTGTCGTCTGACTGACTGACTGACTGACTGTCTGCGGGTAAGTTGAGCTGATGTGCTTCGTTTCGTTGGTTGATGGATGTCGTGGGATCGATCTTAATCTCTCCTATTCTGCTTCTGTCTGTCTGTCTGTTGCGGGCCGCAGATTCGAATGGAGTCCCAGAATGGGGGTGGGGGAGGGTGTTAGTTGCATAGTTTAGTTAAGTTAGTAGGTCGTGTGCATACATACATAACCTCTAACCTATATCTATCTCTCAGTGTGCATACACTCTGGGGATGTCGTTGGTTGGTTGGTTGTTTTGGTATGTAGGCTACTTCAAACTTATGTGTGTGCGGGTGTTCTACTTAACTTTTCTTTCCCACCACCTCCCTGCTGAGTGAGTAATGTATGGAGCTTAAGCATGTGCTACTGCACTTGGTTAAGTATGTGTTGTGGTGTGGTGTGGTTGAGTGGGTAGTAAGTAGCTCTCTAGCGAGGTAGGTAGGGTAGGTAATAGGCCAGGGAGAGGTTGATGTGTCAATTTCGGTGAGGGAGATGGAGATGGGGAGGGGAGAAGGTTGTGTGGTCGAAGTCAGATTTGTGTTTTGTTTATATTTAGTAGGTGTTGTTAGTTACTTGGTAGGTTTGATAGTTAAGTTAATTAGATTATGGATAGTGGAGAGGGTGAATTCTGTTTTCATTTCCCCTTCTGGAGAAAAGTGAAGGCAGTCAAAAAGTACGGAGTACTATCTAACTCTGCGTATGGAATATCTTCATGGGCGGAATATACTACTGATAGATAGTAACTGAATGTGTAGCTTGTATCTCTCTCTTGATACTCCGGGTTTACGTTTACGTTTGCTGTGTGGCTACTGTTTAAGCAAGGTATACATACGCAGCTGAAGCGGTAGGTTTCACTTTATTTCCTCACTTTAACTCCAAGCTTGACAGATAAACCTCGTCTATTTACATAGGGCACTTTATTGACTGCATTTGCATTTGCATCTGTAATTGCCTTCTTGACTACCTGCCTATCTTTCTATACATCTACTGTCGAGTAAACAACACCGGGCCCGGATTATGGATCCCGGTCACCTGGCTGGCCGGGTGATTTTCCCTAGGCCAAATGGTGGGTAAATAGACCCACGATGGATGGGTCTGCGATCGGGTTGAATATCCGTAGACATATTAGATATCGAGACGATGCTGCTATGTTACCAGGACTGTGTTACACTTTTTTTTTTGTTGAGGAGATAATGTTAGTTAAGTCTGTTAGTGTCTGTGTGCCTACGGAAGGTCCGGTGATGGTTCGCGAACTGCGCGTGTCTACCCTTCGGGTTGGGAGCGGGGGAAGGTCAAGGCGACGAGGAGGAGGCTGTAGCTCAGGTAGTATGAATGGAAGAGGGGAATGAACTCTAAATACGATTATGGAGATGCCGTCGTACGTAGTGTACCTTTGTTTCATGTTGGTTTATCTCCGAAAGGAAAGAGGTATGTCCGTGCGGCTTTGAGAGGGGACGAAGAGGGGGGGCGAGGTCTTATGTGGCTCTCGAGGATCAATAGAGTAAGTGTCTAGTCTTCCTAAAATGAAGGGATACCAGGAAAGAATGAAAGAAAACAGAAAAAAAGAAAGGAAAAAAAAAAAGAACCTACTTAGTGTTGTGCTAGGCAAAAGGATGATGGAGGACGAGGATCCATATGATAGATAACCGGATAGGGGATGCCTTGCATGTGCGGATGCCTCAGGTCGGCCGTCTTAGGGCTAGGGCGGACAAGAATAGCATAGCTTGAGGAATTGCCTTCGGAGATCCTCGCCTTTGCTCCTCCGCCAGTATGCAATCCTCCGTGTGTCGGTGCTACGGCTGAAGGGCCTGGAACCCGTTCCAGTGGCAATGATGAGGGCGTTACTGCTAGTAGCTAAGGCTGATCAGGTGTACGAGTCCCTTGAACCGTAAGGCAGTGGTTGAGGCAAGGTGGTGGCTATATCTGGAACAAGACTCATGCAGAAATAGATAGTGATGGGGCCTTGAACGCAGGACGAGGTGGACGCAGCACTCCGTATGGAATAATGGAATGCCGGGAGAAGGGCGCCCCCTTGAAGCATCTGAAACAATGGCACGAGTTGCTTGAGCCTTACTGGCGGCGGTGGTTGACACTGGGACGGCCTTCAATATTATTCTGCATAAGGGCACTATGCGAATGCGGAAGGCAGAGAGATAGGACTTCGTGCCAGTGAGTGAGCTAGCCTGGTCCGGCCAGAACCGAGTGGCAAAGGATCACTTCATGAAGACAAGAATCTGATACATGAGGCGATCTTGCATCGCCGCACGCAGGGCCATCCCGGTCTCTGCTGAGATCCGTGCCATGATGGGCCGCGCTAATGTACGTGAGTTCATAAGCGTATCCTCCGGAGGCCTCTCAATGGGTTAACTATGTATGTACGTTCAATGAGATGCGTACGTACTACTGTAGCCCGACTGGGGTTGACCGGGTCTAATAATGTTGCACTGTAAGTGCGTTGGGGGAAGCCGGTAGTGACAGGGAAGTTGCTATAAGCAAGTCGACAGGTAGACTAGCCTGGGTAGCTTGCGAGCCGGACGACTGGCTACCGGATTTGGACAACGCATTGAGGGGCGCGAAGGGGTCTAGGCGGGGAGGGTCGTTGCTTCTGTGATGCATCACCTGGGGACAATGATTGGCAAGGGCGTCAGGCTCTTGCTGGGCTTTTTTTTTTGCCTCTCTTGCGAGCACTCCGAGTCCAACTGAAGTAATCGGCATGCGATCGGAAGTGCTCTGAGTGTTGCTGATGTTGCTGATTCTTTACGATGCAGATGATTTTTATTTTTCTTTTTTTTCCCCGTATTCATTGTGACCTTTGGGAGGCTTGAGGGGGAGGGGGGCCTCCTCCAAAAGCAAAGGATTCAGTCAACTGTCAGTGTCAGCGGCAGTCCGTGTCAGTTTTGCTGCCTCTCGACTGTTGGACCCGCCAGTCGACGCTGTGTAACCAATTCCAAATCTAGACCAAACTTAAATCGCTCCTCGGCTTCCCTTTTCCTGCCAGTCAGGATGGCCTTGCACCCCATTCGAAAAAGATACCGATGGTGATGGTCCTCGAGTCATCAAACCCAAGGTGACTGGGTACTATGGTCGAACCCAAATTGCAATGAACCGGTTCCCCGTACTTAGTAAATCGTGCTATGGATCTCTCATGAACACATTAAGGTTCGCTTCAGCCGCTCCTCTCTCTCTATTGATGGACTGTTGCCCTTCCGTCGCTGCTGGGGATTCCCTGGTTGAAACCAATAGATTGGCACTTATGGATGCTTCGAGACCCCGATAATTCGGAAAATAAGCGAAACTTGTCAAGTGAGTGTCCCTCGGGCAATTTTCTAAGGTTTTAGTCTATGGGCCCGTGAGCCGGGGGAGCATGTAGAAGCGCAAGCACATATGCCATCTATGGACATAGACTCAACGAGAGTTTACGAGTGAGTTCGTGCCTGGTGGCCACTGCGTGCGAGCGATCTCTGATCGAACAGGGGTGGCTGTTCTTTCAACTGGTGTCCAGTGTTTCATGACATTGTCCTGGTGGATGTATGTACTGCCAACTCACCACTATGGAGCTTGGTACTTTGGAGCCTCCACTATGGTACTATTGGTGGTTTTGGAGGGGGCAAAACCGATCGGACATACTCGTTGATATGAGCCAACAATATCCTCAGCGGCAATCCTCGGTATCGCCGCGCGGCGCTCTATGCTGAAGAAAGGGCGGCTAAGTGTAGCGATAACGTTCAAAGGCGCCATCGTCATCCTCGGCTACTAGGGCAAAGGACTTGCCTCTCCGGGAATAACGGAGTCCGCCCTAACCATGTTAGTTAATTGATCATTCAACTCTCATGGCGTCCACGCCGCCCTCGGAACTTCCCCCAAGCCTTTACCATACGAGAGGCTGGTAGATAGTTATCTTTTGGCGCACAAGATGATGATCGTCCACACTTCTCCTTCAACTCTCTCAACGTGGGGCGGCCTGGGCGTGGCTGGAGCTAGAAGATCCATTCTTCCTTCATCATGCCGCATCCTCAGATCCGGGGGCACCTGAATATGACAGATCTGATCCGGCCGCCGCCTTGATTGCCATCTATCAGCGAACCCGGGATAAGGTTTGTCCTGTTTGGTCGTGTTCTCCCCATATGGCTCTTGGCTTTGGTACCCCAGTACTCTGTATCGCCGGCCCTCCTTTCTCCACTGACATTCTCGGGGTCTGCTCCCTCCCAGTGAAGAGAGACAGTCGTGTCCTTTCCCCGGGGATCTTCCATTCACTGATTGCATTCCCGTCCACCGTACCATGGTTCCAACGAGCGGCACTCCTCATTGTAAACCTGGAAATGGGGTTTTCTCACGCTTCTTCACGCGATAGTCTGGTGGAGTTTTCCGAAACAACTCCCCATAGCGTCTGTCTGTTGGAGACGTCCGACGGCATTCCAAATCCCCTGCCCAGGTCTACTCCAAGCCTACACCAAGAAAAGAAGCAGTCCAGAATTGGGCCTGACAGCCGTCACATCCTGGTCGCTGGGATCTCCCTGTGACCCAGGCGTATGGGCCCTTCGTCGGCTGTGGATGATCCCAACCCTGTCCGAGTTTTGACCCCTTCGTTCGGGCCCGTTCGGTAATAACCTGTGCTATTATAGACAAGGCCACTCTATGATACCAAAGCCCGTTAAACGAGGTTCTCATGGAGACAATGGCTCTGTCGTATGCACCAAGGAGAATCGCCTCATTCGTAACCAGCGAAGACCGGTTAGAACCGTGGAGACTCGTGACAGATTGCGGCCGCTCTTTGCTTCCTAATCTGACCAAAGTCGACCCATGGCCTCGTCATAGAGCTCTTCCAGGTACCAGGTACTTTTGACTTCCTTCTAAGAAGTCCTTGCTTCGTGCTATTAGGTTCTATCCCACCTCCTGCCGAAGCTATGATCTGCTTTCGGGGAACCTGCATCTGCCTGTGCGTCGGATCATTATGTATAGTACATTCTTACTCTGGGCGTTCATGACCCTTTATTGGTACTTTTGCTTTTCCTGGCCAAACATCCTCATATGGGCCGCAGGCTAAGACGAGAAAAACACAAGATCGGGCTGGGACTGCTCCTGTGGGCCTCACTTTTGCCCTCGATCCCGTGCAGACCATGTGCTATACATAGTAGTATATCCGGAGGGGGGAGGGGCGTGTGTGTGGTCTTTGGTGGCACTGAGTCTGAGAAGATCGAGGCGATCGAGACGACTTTTGATACCATCCAAGTGGATGGTCCGGATGGCTGATCCGATCTGTCCCCTATAATTTGACGTTTAAATTTGCTTCTCCATGGCTTCAGCACCTTGCCCGGTTCGGAATTGGGCCTGTGTTCGAACTGGCCAGACGGATAAGCGCCGCAGAGCTAGTTCCCACATCTGTAACAGCCACCAGGCCGCGCTTGTCCAAACGACGGGAACGTTTTATGCCTCGACGCTATGGGTTTCGCGGATGCATCGCCGTCTGGGTCCAGGATCCGAAGTGGACACTGGGTGGACGGACCATGGCCATTGGTCCGAACAGACTATTGATGACCGCGATGCAAGGGGAGTCGATACCTTTCTTCGCCCCGTGTAGATCGAAAACCGCTGCAGCGGTGACAAATCAAGGGTCTGCGATCCCCAATCCGACTCTCGTCTTGTTCATCGGGATCATGGCACGTTGATTCGTCGATCCGGTGCTTTGCCTCGCGTCTGTGCCCATTTCTGATAGAGAAATGTCCCATTCTGGGGAGGGGGGTATGGAAAGAGAAAAAAAGTACTACTAGTTGATGGGCTGTCGAACTCTGCCGGAAGCTTCTTCATGCATCCCCGCGTGTCCTCATGGGGGAGGGAGCAAGGGAAGCAGGAGAAGGAGGAGGGGGGAGGGGGGGAAGCAGGTAGAGAGATGATGAAGCAGTGGAGGCGATGACCAGAAGAGGAAGCGGCGCAGAAGGAGAAGGTCCAGATGGAGATGGAGGCTGCAGATAATCTGTAGGGGAAGCAGGGAATTAGTTAGTAGACACAAGGAACAGTACTCCCAAGAAGTAATAGTAATAATTAAAAAAAAATATGAAGTCAAATAGAGTAGTAAATATAAAAATAAAAAATCAGAATAAAATAAAATAAAAATAAAAATATAATTAAAAAAGAAAAAGAAAAAGAAAGAAAATGGAGAATCCAACGACTCCACCACCATCAGACCAACTATCTGTATGTCATCGTCGATGCTCCATTTCCTTGTTGAGGCAGTCGCAGATCGAGCTAATCCGTTTAGCTTCTGGGGAGGATCCCAAGAAAGCACTTGGTGATACATCCCGAATGCTCTCTGTCTCTCACTCACTCACTCACTGTTTCCGTACTATTCGCACTCTCTCAACCCTTCGCATTCCTCTTCCGATGCAGTTCATTGCCAGCTCAAACTGCACGTCTGAGCGCGCCACCACAATGGCGTCCTTTTGCTGCTCTTTCTGGTCTTTCCCCACTCCCTCCTTCGCCGACTTCCTCATCCATTGCCTCCTCCCCCCTCTCCTCGTTCTCGCCTGCGGCTTCCAACATATAAAACATGCAGCGGGATCCTCCCGTCTTGCTCTGCCAAAGCATTGCATTCTTCATCATCAAATCTCGGCTGCCCCTCGTGGATTATCCTGATTGTTTCCTCTTGTCTTGCTTCTATCCATAGCAACTCCCCTTCTCCTCCTCCTCTCCCCCCTTGATTGTATCAGCGTCATTGTTGCCACTGAACTCTCATTTACTATCATCACCCCCTTGTGGTCCTTATTATTGCTTCTCCCCCTTGAAGCTTATCCTATATACTTCTTGGCTGTGTGGTTTGTTTACCTCACGCCCAATCATCCCCGCGCTGGTGCAGACATACATATCAGAGACATTTCCCCTCCTGCCTGCATACAGACAAACCTCAGACATACAGCACTCTAGCTGCAGCGCCCCGTCTTTCATCTTACTTGCAGCAAGAAACCTCAGCACCATGTTGTTTGAAGAAATGAGCACCATGGCTGACGACATTTCTCGCCGTTGTTCCCTCCCGTAAGTTGTCCTTGAGCCATGCCAGCAGATGCAGCATCTGACGTGACATGCTCCCCACAGTGTGCGATCCCTCTCCAGTGCATCCAGCACGGCAGACATGAGCGAGGACCGCCGCTTGCCCCCGCTCCCCCGCGTGGAGCCCTTGCCCCGAGGCCCCTTTGACCCATTTACTTCCAACATCGGTGCCACCACCAGCTCTCCAAGCTCCCAGGATGCATTTCCCGTTAGGTCGCCGTGGCCTGAAGCGGAACACATCGTGACTCCCCCATCACCAGCAACCTCGGCCGACAGTTCCTGGCCAGAATCCGTTCAGCCACAAAAGGCCTTTGAGTGGCCGCAAGAGCTTTCCCCTGCAGAACTTTTGAACCTCATCGCCCCCAAGCACATCAACCGCAAGCCGCCGTTGCAGCAGCTGTGCGGGCGAAAGCGCAAGGAAAGCATGGTCTCTGCGGATTCAGACGATCAGAGAGAAAAGCACAGAATTGCAGAGGGAAACCGACGGAAGAACCTCAGCCAGCTACATCGTGAGTTGGACAGCCGCATCCATGATTTCTTCTTGGAGCGCGCTGGCTGGAACCCATCCAAGAGCCTACCAGAATCGAAGGAACATATTGTTCAGGCCGCCATCTTTCTCATCGACTTCATGCTCCTGATCATCATCCACTTGATCCGCCAGGAGAATGAGATGCCTCGTCAACTGTCGGAGAAACTGGAGCCCCAGATCCGCTGTATGCAGCTGCAGCAATTGGTGTCCAGCCTTCAGCAGCAGAACCAGAGTGCCCAGCAGCAGATCAAAGCTCTGAAGCAAGAGAACCAGATGTTGGAGGAGCGCAACCAAGCACTCGAGCTTCAGCTAAAGTCATACGAGCACATGTTCCGATCGCCCAAGAGCGAGCCCCTGACTTCTCAGCCGATCATTCATCATGCTGAGGTCAAGCCACGCAACATGCTCCCTGGGTTGCGGGTATTTTGCGACGAGATTGCCGCCAGCAGCCCCGAATCCTCTCGGCTTGAGTCTCATCCCACAGCGCCAGCTTTCACTTTCGGACATGCATACCTTACCCATACTCCTTCTATCACGCGGTCCTCGTCGCCAGTGTTCGCACACGGGCCCCACTCAGTGCCTGTATCACGGCGCCAATCCATTATCCCGTCGCCATGAATTGGCGCATCTATCTCCTTCACGATCACTGAAGGATCCTTGTCATGATTCTCCTTGAGTCTAACCCTAGAGCGGCTGTTGTGCAGCCCAAGTTTTGTTTTTCACCTCATTTAAACTGTGTTTTCTGGCATAGCGAGAGCGTTCTTCATCGACATATACTTGGGACAAGTGATGTCTCCTGTACCGTGATCTGTTTATCGTTTGAAATGGAGTCCACGCTGGACTTGAGCTTTCCTGCGCTTCTCTCCTATTGAACACGGCAAAGGCGCAATGTACATCAACTTGAGAGGAAGAAAAGAAGGAAAAAAGGCAAAGAGCGTTTGTTGGGCATTTATGAGGGATGGTTTTATTTGGTGTCTGTACAATCTTTCTTCCGTGTTCATATTGGGGAAGGCTATAATTATCTTGTTCACTGGCCAGGATCTGGAGCATTGTGGCGACAGGCTTTTTGGGTTGAATTTTCGTTGTTCTCTTTACTATACATACACGACTGATTTCGGTTCTATTTCTTTTGTGATGTCTTCTGGTCAATTTTCAGGGATCGTCCCCATGGGGTGTTTTATTTGTATTTATCAGCATAGAGCGAGATGACCATGAAAATATTCTTACAACCAAGAAAGAAGTATAATCAAATGGGGCACAGAGTGGTAAGTGATCAGTGACTTCTTCAAGCACAAGGTAGTAGATCTACTAGTTGTATAGTCAAGTAGACTTGTGAGTACGGAGTACATACGTGGTAACTAAGTAGTAGTACTTCGTAGTGCAACTCGGTCGTTGAGTTATGCAGTGAATGAGGGTTATGCAGCTGATTAAGGGTCCCTTAGTCACCCGCGGCTATAAATAAAAAAGAAAAATTAAAAGCGGCGGGCCAATCCCGAAGCGGCCAACTGGACTTTGAGTCTGGCTGGAACTTCGGCGGGTCGATTCTTCCCTGTCAACCTGGAACTTCTCTTCTGTCGAACGACCATTCCAATCATCTTATCCTCCCCTGGACATCTCTGTGTCGCTGACTGAGAACTGGTCGGATCACTCTGTGTCCTGATCGTTCATCGTCCGCTTCTCACATTCGTTTGAAACCTACTCCTTCTTTGCTGGGGCCCTCCGGTGCCGCACCACTCCCGCAGCCAGCCTTTTCCCTACCCTTTTTCCTGCCCCGGGCGATCGCTGGCTCTCCCCCCCCTTCTCCATATCGCATCATCGACTCTGACATCCCCTGTCGACGCCTTTGATCCGTCAGATTTCAGTCTCGATTTTGTGTGATCGTCCCTGCGAATATCAGCATCGCGTCGAAACCCGCTCCTTTTCCCTTCCCTGGACGGTCCGTCTCTTCCGCTGCCCGTTCTGCATCGTGTTGTCCGCTCCACGACAGATTGATCGATCTCCTCGGACCCTGGTGTCCCAGCGACAGGCATCCCATCCCCAGAAATCGTCGCCTAGCTGTAGGCGTCGACGGTTTCTGATTACGAAAAGCGAGAGTATTCTGCTCGCTTTCCTGGCCAACTCATAATCTTATTTCCCCTTTTTTTTCTCCCTCCCCGTCGCGAAGATGTTGCTCCCCAAGGGTGGTGTAACGTGGAAGTCTGCCAAAGCAAGGCTGCCTCCATGGCGAGCTGTTCTGTTCCTTGTCACACGGACCCGTTTTCTGGTCTCATTGGCCATTACTGGTCTTGTAGTCCTACTATGGCGTGGCATCAGCAAGTCAGCGTCCGAGATGCAGAGGTGAGTACCTGACTCGACGTTGGCCGGGCTGCCCGCAACACCCGGTCCCTGGCAATGACTTGCAGGCACGCGACCAGAAAACGCTAACGGCTGCATGTAGCTTCTACTGCTATGGTCCTTCAAAATCGCCGATGGAGATGAGCATCAATGAAATGGTCGAGTGGACCGCACACACGCAGACCCCTGTCCTCTTCAACCACCACGCTGCCTATGAAGTGAACTCCTCGAGCATCAAGACAGTCGACCTCAACCCCATCAAGTCTACCTCCCAGGCCATTTCGAATTCTGAGCGGGTGCTCATCCTCACCCCTCTGAGAGATGCATCCGAGCATCTGGTCAACTACTTCGATCTCCTCTACAAGCTGACGTATCCTCACAACCTCATTGACTTGGCTTTCCTCGTTGGTGATTGCAGTGACGACACCATGGCTGTTCTTACCGCTGAGCTGTCCCGGATCCAGGACCAGGTGGATGAGAAGATTGCTTTCCGTAGCGCGACAATCGTGCAGAAGGACTTTGGAGCTGATATCGAAATGAACGTCGAGGACAGGCACTCCTTTGCTGCTCAAGGCCCGCGCCGCAAGGCCATCGGTCGCGCCCGCAACTACCTGCTCTACTCTGCTCTCAAGCCTGACCACTCTTGGGTCTACTGGAGAGATGTTGACATTTTCGACAGCCCTGACAGCATCATTGAAGATTTCATCGCTCATGACAGGGATATTTTGGTTCCAAGTATGTTGCTAGGCCCTTCATGAAAACCACGAATAAAGGTGCTAACCCCGTTGCAGACATTTGGTTCCATCGCTACCGGGATGGTGTTGATGTCGAGGGTCGATGTATGTAAACAAACATCCCTTCACAATACTCGCTTTGCTAACTCTCGCAGTTGACTACAACTCCTGGATCGAATCGGACAAGGGACGCCGCCTCCGAGAGACTCTCGACCCTGATACTGTTCTGGCTGAAGGCTACAAGGAATACGACACTGGCCGGACTTACCTGGTCGGCATGGGTGACTGGAGAAAGAACAAGGACGAGGAAGTTGAGCTTGACGGTATCGGTGGTGTCAACATCCTCGTGAAGGCCGATGTTCACCGGACTGGCATCAACTTCCCGGCCTACGCTTTTGAGAACCAGGCTGAAACCGAGGGATTCGCCCGCATGGCTAAGCGCGCTGGATACCAGGTGTACGGTCTTCCGAACTATGTCGTCTGGCACATTGATACGGATGAGAAGCCTGGCAACCTCGGAGGCCGCAAGGCATACTAGCTGCATTCCTGAGTTGATTCTCATTTTCCCGCGGTGTGAGTAGTACGATCTCTGCCACATCTCATCCTTTGACGCCTGAATACCCCGTTCCCGTGTACATCCGAGCCCTTGCAGCGGTTCTTTGCATGGAGGCTTTCCTCTTAACGCTTTTATTGAATCTTCTATCTTCGTTTTTTCTCTTTCTTTCGTGATTGCATTCTTCGGACGCGGGGACGGATATCTCACGACGCCGGTAATTAAGTCTTTCTTTGTATTGCGTGCTAGGGTTATGTCTGATTTTGTTGGCGCTACGGGGACAGTGTTCAGCGGTATTGGAAGCTCATAGAGAGCGAGTGAGCGGGCTCTGGTTGGAGCCTACGTTGTTCTTCCAGGCCCAAGCCATGGGCTCCTTTCACAGGCATGGTGCTCTGATGCTATTGCTCATCTCTGGAGCCTGCTTGACGCATCATCCACAGTTAGAGCAGCGCGCGGTATCTGGAATGAGCTACTTTATAGCTCAGGGACGTTGACGAAAGAGGCAGATGAACAGGGCCATGGTGCTTGGCGTCCATGTACATACATATATAGGCTACAATCTGGTGGGCTTGTTATGACTGTAAACCCGATAAGCTGGTAGGAGTAGTAGCAGTAGTCGCAACAGTAGGAATAGTGGTTAGTAGTATCTAGAAGATCCACCGGATAAGTGCTGCTCCTGCTCCCCACCTTTTCCCCGCTTCCACTTCCCGCCATCGGATCTCTCGTCTTGCCGGACTTTTCCCTCACGTTTCCCAGTCACTACCCTTGACACACCTTTCCTGCTTGCGTATCATCAAAAACGAAAACACAAACACCATGCCTGCCAAGAACGAATTCCTCTGCATCCTCCCGGACAAGCCGGGCATGATGGCCAAGCGACTGGAAGTCCGCCCGTAAGAACTACCCCTCACCTGCGCATTCCCATCATCAATACTGACACCACCGGCTTCACTGAACAGTCAACACTTGGAAGGAATCAAGCCCCTCGTCGAAGCCGGCTCTGTGGTTGCGGGAGGTACATCTCACTTGCCACACTCCCTATTTTCTTCCGCTTCTCCGTTACTGACTTCTTCCCCACCAAGGCGCAATGCTCGACAAGCACCCCGCAGAAGGCGAATCCATGTCCTTCCAAGGAAGCATGATGATGGTATTGGCGGAGACAAAGGAGGAAGCCGAGGCACTTATCAAGAACGACATCTACACGAAGAGTGGAGTGTGGGACTTGGACAAGGCGCAGATTATTCCGGTTTGTGTTCATTCCCTGCTTCTGCCTCTCTCCCCTTTTGGCAGGGCCATCGTCATGCGTACCTTTTTACTAACATGTGGGCGGTTATAGTTCAAGTCTGCCGTTCGGGTGGCATTGTAGATCATCTTTTCCGTTCCTGTCACATATCACATTTCATGGTATATATGAATGACTCGGTTTATTGCATAGCGAAAGTGATAGTGCCTTTGGTTATCGATACTATTGGAGTAAGTGGGTTTATTTATTCATGCAATACTTTGCGCGTGGCTAGTGCAAGGTAGGACAGCGCAACAATAGTACGAGCCTGCGGTGGCAGCACGCATTTGCACTATGAAGTGACTGGTCATGTTGAGTTCGGCAGTCATCGTGCCTTTCAGGGGTCGAGTATGGCAACTTGCATGTGCAGGATTAGTTTGTGACTGGGGCACGATGCTCCATGGGTCATGTCCCCGGTTGTCTACTTACAGAAGGACATGATTACGTTCTGAGCCATGTGTAGCTCATTATCATGCGTCATATCGTCCGGATGCTTCCCTGTTGAGCTGGGATGGCTGAAGTTCGTCCTCGGCCGGTGTTTAATCGGCCATGCTTACGTGACAGACTTTAGGTTTGGGAGTATACATGAGAAAGGACGTGATTGAGCTTCTAGTTTGAAGGCTGCTGCCAACTTGTTTCTCCGTGATTGGATCCGAACTTAATCTTGATGATCGAAAGCACACTCATTATATCGTCACAGTTTAGATCCTTGTCAGATGGATGTGACGAGCCTTGCATGTCACACTTCTCTTGATTTGCCTCCGAAAAATAAAGGCAGAATGAGATTCTACTACTCGGCGCAGAGGTACAAAAAGCTAATATACCCGCGCGACTCCTATATGTTGAAACTCTTAATAAAAGCGGTCAATAACTGGATGAGTCAGTGCTAGTGTATTTTAGGCCAACACAACGTTATAACGCATATAAAGAAAGGCTGATCTTGCGTCACCCTGAATATACCTGACTACGGCGATGCATGCACCCACATGTCTGCATTCCTACAGGCGGAGAGAGCATGTACACGTAACCCACCACTAAGAAAACGTGGCAGGCATCTGAATATGTGACGCTATCTCAACATCTCAAAACTAGAACTGTCAGTTCGTGCAACCCAAGCATCAGTATACTCAAGACCTCATCATGCCGTCCAACGAGAGTCAACCACAAGCAGGCAATAATGCCGTACTTCGCAACATCAATCCCAGCTACACAGGCTTCGACCACATTAGATGGTATGTCGGGAATGCCCGCCAAGCAGCGACCTACTTCGTCGCCCAATTTGGCTTCAACATCGTTGCCTACCGCGGACCAGAAACGGGCTCCCACCTAAGCTGTTCGTACGTTGTCACCAACGGAAACGCCCGATTCGTTTTCACAGCCCCCATTACCTCCCCCAACAACACCTGGGACAAGCGGGCCTCAGGCGCAGACCGCCAGCAACTGGATGAGATCCATGCACACCTCACCAAACACGGCGATGGTGTCAAAGACATCGCGTTCGCGGTAGACGACGTCACTGGCGTCTGGGAACACGCCGTCCAGCACGGTGCCATCTCCATCCAAGAACCACAACTCCTCAAAGACCAAAGCGGCGAGGTCCGTTCCGCCACGATCCAGACCTACGGCGACACAGCACATACGCTGATCAACAGATCCGCGTACCAAGGGATCTTCCTCCCCGGATACCAAGCCGTATCTGGCCAGGATCGACTGAACGATCTTCTACCCGAGATTGACGTGATCGAAATCGACCACTGTGTGGGCAATCAAGGCTGGGATGGCCTAGACAGTATCGTGAAGTAGTAAGCATAATCTCTCATCACCATGGGTATACTATACACTAACACAACCACTAGCTACGAAGACGCCCTAAACTTCCACCGCTACTGGACCGTCGACGACAAAGACATGTGCTCCGAATACTCAGCAATGCGCTCCATCGTGATGGCCTCCCCCAACGAAGTCATAAAAATGCCCATGAACGAGCCCGCCACCGGTCTCAAAAAGTCCCAGATAGAAGAGTAAGCCGAACCCTCCCTCTTACCCCCCACCCACGTACCACTAACTAATCTTCCACTGCAGATTCGTAGAATACTACAACGGCCCCGGCTGCCAACACATCGCCTTCCGAACCCCCAACATCCTGCAAGCCGTCGAAAACCTCACCACCCGCGGCGTAACCTTCCTCTCCGTCCCCGAAACCTACTACGCCAACATGCGCAAGCGCCTCGCATCTGCAAACATAACCCTAGCCGAAGACATCAATCTGCTTCAAAAATACAACATCCTGATTGATTTCGATGAGGGTGGCTACTTACTCCAGATCTTCACTAAGCATGTGGTTGATCGACCAACCGTATTCTTGGAGATCATTCAGAGAGAGAATTTTGATGGTTTCGGGGCTGGGAATTTTAAGAGTCTTTTCGAGGCGTTTGAGAGGGATCAGGAGATGAGGGGGAATTTGTAGGTTGGTTGATTTGGTATAGTTTGCTTGCTTGCTAGATTGCTCGCCTGTTTGTTTCTTTGGGGTAAACTGACGGTAAGGGTAAGAGTGTTTGTTGCTACTATTATTATGGATGACTAGAATAAATACGGCATGGGTTGCTTTAGTACTTCCTTTCAGTACTTCAAGAAAATGTAGGTAGCCTTTAACTTACGTGCTCGGCAAGAATACGGCTAATCTACGTAAAGAAGTAGAAGAAAATAGTCAAGAACTTCGATTCAAGCTAGCTCAACCATCTCATCAAAAGATACAACATCCATACGATCCCGCCAGTGTCCATTCCATTCCATCCTTGAACGCCGTCCCTATGGATATATTTAACGCACCGAATAATACCGAGACTAGACCTAGACCCTATCATAAACGATATTCTATTTCAACACCAGGTCATCACTGGCTG